GCACATCTCCACTGCCTCCAACCGTCTCCTCGCTGCAGCATTTACAACCCAAGCTTCACACCCATATAAGAGTGTTGGTACTACTATACTTTCATACATTCCCTTCTTTGCCTCCATAGATAATGTTTTTTGTCTCCACATATACCTCAACGCACCACTCGCCTTTTTTTCCCTCATCAGTTCTATGATTAACCTCATCCTTCATAAATCCATCCGCCGACACTTCAGCTCCCAAATATCTGAAAACATTCACTTCTTCCATACTCCTCTTCCCCAATTTGATATCCAAATTTTCTTTATCTAAATAATTTGATACCCTCATCACCTTACTCTTTTCTATGTTCACTTTCAACTTTCTACCTTTACACACACTCCCAAACTCGTCAACTAACCTTTGCAATTTTTCTTCAGAATCTGCCATAAGCACAGTATCATCAGCAAAAAGTAACTGTGTCAATTCCCAGGGAGGTACTACCGTCCTGCCAAGTGAGTGTAAAACGAAATCCTGTAATTGTTTTACATGATGGTAGGATTGCTGGTGTCTTTTGCCTGTCTCATAAATATGCAAGATTACAGGTATGTCTTGCTACTTCTACTTACACTTAGGTCACACTACACATACATGTACACGTTTATTTATACGCACTCATCTGAGTTTTCTTTGATTTTATCTTAATAATTCTTGGTCTTAATACTTTTCCTTTTATACCCATGGAGAAGTGGAATAAGAATCTTTCCTCCGTAAGCCATGCGTGTTGTAAAAGTCAACTAAAATGCCGGGAACAATGGGCTAGTAACCCCTTTTCCTGTAAAGATTACTAAAAAGAATAATAATAAGAAAATTGTCAAACTGGGAAGTCTGAATGTGCGTGGATGTTGTGCAAATGATAAGAAAGAGATGATTGTGGATGCTATGAATGAGAAGCTGGATGTCCTGGCTTTAAGTGAAACAAAGCTGAAGGGGGTGGGAGAGTTTCACTGGAGAGGAATAAATGGGATTAGGTCAGGGGTTTCAAAAAGAGTTAGAGCTAAAGAAGGAATAGCAATAATGTTGAAGGATAAGATATGGCAGGAAAAGAGGGACTATAAATGTATTAATTCAAGGATGATGTGGAGTAAAATAAAGGTTGGATGTGAAAAGAGGGTTATAGTAAGTGCATATGCACCTGGAGAAGAGAGAAGTGTAGAGGAGAGAGAGAGATTTTGGGAAATGTTGAGTGAATGCGTGGGGAGTTTTGAACCAAGTGTGAGAGTACTTGTGGTTGGGGGTTTCAATGCTAAAGTGGGTAAAAATGTTGTGGAGGGAGTAGTAGGTAAATTTGGGGTGCCAGGGGTAAATGTAAATGGGGAGCCTTTAATTGAGCTATGTGAAGAAAGAGATTTGGTAATAAGTAATACATATTTTATGAAAAAGAGGATAAATAAATATACAAGGTATGATGTAGCACGTAATGAAAGTAGTTTGTTAGATTATGTATTGGTGGATAAAAGGTTAATGGGTAGGCTCCAGGATGTACATGTTTATAGAGGGGCAACTGATATATCGGATCATTATTTAGTTGTAGCTACAGTTAGAGTAAGAGGTAGATGGGACAAGAGGAAGGTGAAAACAACAAGTATGAGGGAAGTGAAAGTGTATAAACTAAGGGAGGAGGAAGTTCGTGGGAGATATAAGCGACTCTTGGCAGAAAGGTGGGCTAGTGCAAAGATGAGTAGTGGGGGAGTTGAAGAGGGTTGGATGAGTTTTGAAAATGCAGTATTAGAATGTGGGGCAGAAGTTTGTGGTTATAGGAGGGTGGGGGCAGGAGGAAAGAGGAGTGATTGGTGGAATGATGAAGTAAAGGGTGTGATAAAAGAGAAAAAGTTAGCTTATGAGAGGTTTTTACAATGCAGAAGTGTTATAAGAAGAGCAGAGTATATGGAGAGTAAAAGAAAGGTGAAGAGAGTGGTGAGAGAGTACAAAAGGAGAGCAGATGATAGAGTGGGAGAGGCACTGTCGAGAAATTTTAATGAAAATAAGAAAAAAAATGGAGTGAGTTAAACAAGTTAAGAAAGCCTAGGGAAAGTATGGATTTGTCAGTTAAAAACAGAGTAGGGGAGTTATTAGATGGGGAGAAGGAGGTATTAGGTAGATGGCGAGAATATTTTGAGGAACTTTTAAATGTTGAGGAAGAAAGGGAGGCGGTAATTTCATGCACTGGCCAGGGAGGTATACCATTTTTTAGGAGTGAAGAAGAACAGGATGTGAGTGTGGGGGAGGTACGTGAGGCATTACGTAGAATGAAAGGGGGTAAAGCAACTGGAACTGATGGGATCATGACAGAAATGTAAAAGCAGGGGGGGGGGATATAGTGTTGGAGTGGGTGGTACTTTTGTTTAATAAATGTATGAAAGAGGGGAAGGTACCTAGGGATTGGCGGAGAGCATGTATAGTCCCTTTATATAAAGGGAAAGGGGACAAAAGAGATTGTAAAAATTATAGAGGAATAAGTTTACTGAGTATACCAGGAAAAGTGTATGGTAGGGTTATTATTGAAAGAATTAGAGGTAAGACAGAATGTAGGATTGCGGATGAGCAAGGAGGTTTCAGAGTGGGTAGAGGATTGTATATCAAGTGTTTACATTGAAGCATATATGTGAACAGTATTTAGATAAAGGTAGGGAAGTTTTTATTGCATTTATGGATTTAGAAAAGGCATATGATAGAGTGGATAGGGGAGCAATGTGGGAGATGTTGCAAGTATATGGAATAGGTGGTAAGTTACTAAATGCTGTAAAGAGATTTTATGAGGATAGTGAGGCTCAAGTTAGGGTGTGTAGAAGAGAGGGAGAATACTTCCCGGTAAAAGTAGGTCTTAGACAAGGATATGTAATGTCACCATGGTTGTTTAATATATTTATAGATGGGGTTGTAAAAGAAGTAAATGCTAGGGTGTTCGGGAGAGGGGTGGGATTAAATTATGGGGAATCAAATACAAAATGGGAATTGACACAGTTACTTTTTGCTGATGATACTGTGCTTATGGGAGATTCTAAGGAAAAATTGCAAGGGTTAGTGGATGATTTTGGGAGTGTGTGTAAAGGTAGAAAGTTGAAAGTGAACATAGAAAAGAGTAAGGTGATGAGGGTATCAAATGATTTAGATAAAGAAAAATTGGATATCAAATTGGGGAGGAGGAGTATGGAAGAAGTGAATGTTTTCAGATACTTGGGAGTTGAGGTGTCGGCAGATGGATTTATGAAGGATGAGGTTAATCATAGAATTGATGAGGGGAAAAAGGTGAGTGGTGCGTTGAGGTATATGTGGAGTCAAAAAAAAACGTTATCTATGGAGGCAAAGAAGGGAATGTATGAAAGTATAGTAGTACCAACACTCTTATATGGGTGTGAAGTTTGGGTTGTGAATGCAGCAGGGAGGAGGCGGTTGGAGGCAGTGGAGATGTCCTGTCTAAGGGCAATGCGTGGTGTAAATATTATGCAGAAAATTCGGAGTGTGGAAATTAGGAGAAGGTGTGGAGTTAATAAAAGTATTAGTCAGAGGGCTGAAGAGGGGTTGTTGAGGTGGTTTGGTCATTAGGAGAGAATGGATCAAAGTAGAATGACATGGAGAGCATTTAAATCTGTAGGGGAAGGAAGGCGGGGTAGGGGTCGTCCTCGAAAAGATTGGAAGGAAGGGGTAAGGGAGGTTTTGTGGGTGAGGGGCTTGGACTTCCAGCAGGCGTGCATGAGCGTGTTCGATAGGAGTGAATGGAGACGAATGGTATTTGGGACCTGACGATCTGTTGGGGTGTGAGCAGGGTAATATTTAGTGAAGGGATTCAGGGAAACCGGTTATTTTTATATAGCCGGACTTGAGTCCTGGAAATGGGAAGTACAATGTCCGCACTCTAAAGGAGGGTTCGGGATATTAGCAGTTTGGAGGGATATGTTGTGTATCTTTATACGTATATACTTCTAAACTGTTGTGTTCTGGGCACCTCTGCAAAAGCAGTGATTATGTGTGAGTGAGGTGAAAGTGTTGGATGATGATGAAAGTATTTTCTTTTTGGGTCACCCTGCCTCGGTGGGAGACGGCCGACTTGTTAAAATATATAATGTACACACACACACACACACACACACACACACACACACACACACACACATATATATATATATATATATATATATATATATATATATATATATATATATTATAAATATATATAATATAAAATATATATATATATATATATATATATATATATATATATATAATAATATATATATATTATATATATATATATATATATATATTATATATATATATATATATATATATATTATATATATATATATATATATATATATATCGTGCCGAATAAGCTAAACCGGCGAGTTAGAGCATGCCTAAAAAACAAGTCTTTTCTGCTGAAAAAGCGACCCTTACTCACAGAGACAAAATCATATAGTAATGCAGTTAAAAAAGACAGTTCACACTGTGTATAGATTGTGTATAGATCCCTAAGGTTCTCAGAAAACAGGCACAAACAATAATTATATGTTGCAGACACACGATAATGCTCAAGTCTAAATAAAAAATATGACTATATAAGGTGTTTGTGTGTGAGGCTGTGTGGTTAGAGGCAGAGCACCTAAACTCAGGTCCTTCCCTGGTCAATGGGAAAGCACCACTTGATCCTTGAGTGTAAGAGAAAAAAAGAAATTAAAAAGACCTGGAAGGGTGCAAGAGTTAAATCCCCCCACACTTGCGTAAACAGTTAGGGTAAGGCTATTCCAGCACTTTCCTCCAGCTTCCTCAATGTTAGAAATTAATATCAAGCCTATCACTAGAGATTTTAAAATAGTATTTTGTAAAGACAACAATGTAGGTCATTACAGCACAGGGTCTGCACATTATCCCAGCTCTCAGATAATGATAGGTATCCATTGTTACAATGACAAAAGCCTAATAATAGTCAAAAATACCAATAAAATACAGATGTACGTTACAGTCTCACCTGGGTGTCTGAGATACGTCGTGTCCTTAGGTCCCTGCCCGCCTGCCGTGCCACTGAGAGTGTCACTGTCACCTCTGTCTCGAAGCTCTGGCTTGTTTCACTCGCACCCGCTGAAGACACTTCGTTCTTCTCCTCCTTGTCCTCTTCCTCTACTACTGCTTGCCATCTCATTTTGGGTTTCTTTTTACCTTCTTTTTGTTTTGGCACTTGTTTATCTTCCTCTGCCACTGCTTGCCATCTTCTTTTTGGTTTCGTTTGATCCTCTTTTACTTCTAATTCTTGTTCTTCTTCCTCTACCACTGCTTTCCATCTGCCTTTTAGTTTATTGTGACTCCCTTTTTCTTGTTCTTCCTCTTCTGCTTCTGCTTGCCGTTTTCCTTTTGGCTTCTGCTTTTCGTTGTCACTTTCCTCTTCTTTTGCTGCCGCTTCTGCTTTCCATTTCCCTTTTGGTTTCTTCTGCCTTTCTTCTTCCTCTTCTGCTGCTACTGCTTGCCATCTTCCATTCCGTTTCTTCTGTCTTTCTTTTTCTTCTTCAGTTGTTGCTTGCCATCTTCCATTTGCTTTCTTCTGCCATTTCTTTTCTTCTTCGTCTTCTGATGCTGCTTGCCGTCTCCCTATTGGTTTATTCTCTTCTGTTTCCTCTTCTACCACTGCTTTCCACCTACTTCTTGGTTTATTCGTTACCTCTTCACACTCTTCCTCTACTACTGCCTTCCATCTACCTATTGGTTTCTTCTCAGTTTGTTCTTCATTTGATGCTACCTTCCACCTACCTCTTGGCTTTTGTTCTGTTTTTTTTTCTTCTTCGTCTGCTACAGTTTTCCACCTATCTTGTGGCTTCTCCTCTTCAGGTTCTGTTTCTTCTTCTGTCTTCCACCTTCCTCTTGGTTTATTAGGTTTTTTCTCTTCATCTTTATCGACTATTTTCCATCTATCTCTTGGCTTTATTTCTTCTTCTACGTCTGTTACTGCATCCCACCTGCTTCTTGGCTTCTCTAATTCTTCATCCTCTTCCTCAACTACTGCTTTCCACCTTCCTTTTGGTTTCTTTTCATCCGTTCCTTCATCTTCTACTTCTGCAACGGTTTTCCACCTCCCTCTGTGCTTCCTCCTCTCCTCTGATCCCTCATCTTCCCACTCGAAGCTGGAGGAGAGCATATGCTCAGCTGAGCGAGTGGTGGAGGTGGTGGTGGTCCTCCAGGTCCCTGGAAGGGAGATGCTCTCATCTTCGTCATCATCATCTTCGTCATCGTCATCTTCGGCGTCAGCTTCCTCCACTCGCGGAGACGACTGAAGAAAAACATAGAATTTTATTCACACAAGAACGAAGGAAGACTGCAGCAGGTCTACTGGCCCACGCTAGGCAGGTCTAACTCACACCCACTCGTTTAACCGTCTAACGTACATTTAAAGTCAACTAAAGTTTTTGTCTTAATGACGCTACCTGGGAATATGTTCCACTCATCCACAACTATTGCCAAACCAGTATTTTTAAGATACAGTAAATTATCTTATAAAGCTTCTCTATATGGTGTGATGTTTTATAAATATGACTGAAAAAATGCATACAAAATTGGCTAGCGCGTACTATGAAGGCCCTTCCACGTGCTATTTAATTTTTGATATATATTTTCAAGCTCATTTACAAAAAAGCACCATACAGAGAAGCTTTAAAAGAGAGCTTACTGTCTCTAAAGATACGAGAAGAATTCTTCTATGTAGATCTAATACAACATACAAGAAGATAATGTGATATTTTAATGTTAATGTGACTGATGTCAGAATGTCATAACAGATGTGTGTGTGTGTTTAGTTAACCCCTCGTGTCAAATCCCGCTGATCCGATGTACATGAACATTGGATCATCTGCCCTGGTAAAAGATCCCGGAACTGCGTGTCACCAAGGATTCATCCTGGTAAGTACTACAGTGTCGACTGTACCTGTGTATTTTATAGCCCCTTGTCGAGAAAGTGTCCACCAGATGTTTGAGTGTGTGTTGCGACTGGCAGTTCTCTTGGTGGAAGATTGACTCAAGTCAGTAAGTGATATATATCCTGAACAGTTGAAATTAAGATAAATAATTTTGAGTAAAATTGTTCCTAAAAAAAAATGCAGGCAATAGTACTGAAAGAAAACACTGTCATTTTCTACGTCATTTTTCAAGAATTAGTAAACCCACTGGTATTTAAGTCTCCTTCGAACGTTAAAGCTTATAAAAGTTATTTTATGTTAGAATCAGTTAGGTTAGAGTCCTTTAATGTTACTGAACAAAATTTTTCTGAATGTTATCTAGCAGTAAACATTTCAAGGAAAATACACCATACTGTGAATGTGAAAAAAAACACTTGCCGTATGAAGGTAGGCTGAATTATGAAAAAAAGGGTAATGTGAGAGCTGACCTCAGCCTCCGGGGCACTGGAGACGATGCTGGGTGATGGGGAGTGAGAGCGAGAGGGGCCAGAAGTAACTGTAGACAATCCGTCTGATGAGCGCCGTCTTGCACCTTCCCACACTCTTTCTTCTTCTTCTTCCTCCTCCTCCTCTTCTTCCTCCTCTTCTTGTTCTTCTTGTGTCCGCATGAGCAGCTCCTCTAAAGTTGCTCCTCCTGGCAAGAACACGCTGATATCTGTCTCCTGATGCTGTTCATCTTCCAACTGCTTCTGCTGACGATTTGATTCTCTTCTCGATGGTGTGCTGTTGGCAGATCTGTCAAGAGCGAGGATAGTCTTGCAGAGCTCCTTAGGTAAATTGTCGATATATTACATAAATATTTTAAAATTCTGTTGCTTATTAGCCGCAGTTAACTAGTTAAAATTGACGGCAATAAATTAAGTTATACTATTCATTTATGTTATACATAAATATTTTAAGTGAAGCACTAACCCTTGTGAGTCATCCAGAATAAGGAGTGATAGAACATTAGTTTGATTGTTGCTTGAAAAACCTACCTGCGCTCTCTGTCATCAGCAGTACGACGGCTGCGCTTTTCCTCGAGGGCAGCTGATTCTCGGCGTCTGGAAATGGAGGTGGTTGACAGGGAGCTGCAAGAACGAGTAGAGGGCGATCTGCCTGCATTGGGGGATGGAGGCGAGCCATCACTGTGTAGTAGCGCTATGCTCTGGAACACCTCGTTAGCCTCGGCCACCAATCGGTCTTTTTCCAGCTGCGATAGTAAAGAATTTCGTGTGGTAGAAGTTGCAGGTATTACTTTCACATATGACACTGCTTTATCGATCATCTATATATGAATATGGGCACATGGTTATCCATCATGCTTATCTATATTTCACAATCTGTGACAACGCCGAATGTATACTTCCATAAATGCTACTTATTAAAGAAAAATGCTAAACCAGCAAATATGAGATAACTTTAATTGCATTAATTGTCCAGCAAGGCAACAAGAATATCCTTCAAAACATATACGTAGCTAAAACTGGGTCAAGAGCTAACCGGGTTTTCCTGTAGGTCCCGGGAAGACCTGGGTTCTGATGTCTCAGACTCCGGGGAGGTGGAATCTAGAAAGGGAAGAAGAGTTAAGGTACCCATATTGGAGAAATTATTTTTTATGGTACATTACTGTAATAGTTATCTATACAAGTGCAACTAAGCCGAAGTCCTACGCCAGTGTTTGATCCAATAACTCATTTATAATGACTTACAGGTCTAAGGCAACTTTTTTCAAGAAAACTATTAAACTATTACTAACACACTTCAAAAAATTGTAGTACACAACAGTAACTTTTTCCAAGGAATGTGAGAGATCTGATCCTGAGGTCAAGTGTGTACTAACCCAGCGCACTGAAAATGGCTTAGAGGAACAAGAGTTGGATCTAATCACGCAGGCTGTTGGTGGTGAGAGATTGGATATAAATATATAAATATATATATATATATATATATATATATATATATATATATATATATATATATATATATATATAAATGTATTAATTCAAGGATTATGTGGAGTAAAATAAAGATTGGATGTGAAAAGTGGGTTATAATAAGCGTGTATGCACCTGGAGAAGAGAGAAGTGTAGAGGAGAGAGAGAGATTTTGGGAAATGTTGAGTGAATGCGTGGGGAGTTTTGAATCAAGTGTGAGAGTAATGGTGGTTGGGGATTTCAATGCTAAAGTGGGTAAAAATGTTATGGAGGGAGTAGTAGGTAAATTTGAGGTGCCAGGGGTAAATGTAAATGGGGAGCCTTTAATTGAGCTATGTGCAGAAAGAGATTTGGTAATAAGTAATACATATTTTATGAAAAAGAGGATAAATAAATATACAAGGTATGATGTAGCACGTAATGAAAGTAGTTTATTAGATTATGTATTGGTGGATAAAAGGTTGATGGGTAGGCTCCAGGATGTACATGTTTATAGAGGGGCAACTGATATATCGGATCATTATTTAGTTGTAGCTACAGTTAGAGTAAGAGGTAGATGGGAAAAGAGGAAGGTGGCAACAACAAGCAAGAGGGAGGTGAAAGTGTATAAACTAAGGGAGGAGGAAGTTCGGGCGAGATATAAGCGACTATTGGCAGAAAGGTGGGCTAGTGCAAAGATGAGTAGTGGGGGGGGGGGGTTGAAGAGGGTTGGAATAGTTTTAAAAATGCAGTATTAGAATGTGGGGCAGAAGTTTGTGGTTATAGGAGGGTGGGGGCAGGAGGAAAGAGGAGTGATTGGTGGAATGATGAAGTAAAGGGTGTGATAAAAGAGAAAAAGGTAGCTTATGAGAGGTTTTTATAAAGCAGAAGTGTTATAAGAAGAGCAGAGTATATGGAGAGTAAAAGAAAGGTAAAGAGAGTGGTGAGAGAGTGCAAAAGGAGAGCAGATGATAGAGTGGGAGAGGCACTGTCAAGAAATTTTAATGAAAATAAGAAAAAATTTTGGAGTGAGTTAAACAAGTTAAGAAAGCCTAGGGAAAGCATGGATTTGTCAGTTAAAAACAGAGTAGGGGAGTTAGTAGATGGGGAGATGGAGGTATTAGGTAGATGGCGAGAATATTTTGAGGAACTTTTAAATGTTAAGGAAGAAACAGAGGCAGTAATTCATGCACTGGCCAGGGAGGTATACCATTTTTTAGGAGTGAAGAAGAGCAGAATGTAAGTGTGGGGGAGGTACGTGAGGCATTACGTAAAATGAAAGGGGGTAAAGTAGCTGGAACTGATGGGATCATGACAGAAATGTTAAAAGCAGGGGGGGATATAGTGTTGGAGTGGTTGGTACTTTTGTTTAATAAATGTATGAAAGAGGGGAAGGTACCTAGGGATTGGCGGAGTGCATGTATAGTCCCTTTATATAAAGGGAAAGGGGACAAAAGAGACTGTAAAAATTATAGAGGAATAAGTTTACTGAGTATACCAGGAAAAGTGTACGGTAGGGTTATAATTGAAAGAATTAGAGGTAAGACAGAATGTAGGATTGCGGATGAGCAAGGAGGTTTCAGAGTGGGTAGGGGATGTGTAGATCAAGTGTTTACATTGAAGCATATATGTGAACAGTATTTAGATAAAGGTAGGGAAGTTTTTATTGCATTTATGGATTTAGTTAGAAAAGGCATATGATAGAGTGGATAGAGGAGCAATGTGGCAGATGTTGCAAGTATATGGAATAGGTGGTAAGTTATTAAATGCTGTAAAGAGTTTTTATGAGGATAGTGAGTCTCAGGTTAGGGTGTGTAGAAGAGAGGGAGACTACTTCCCGGTAAAAGTAGGTCTTAGACAGGGATGTGTAATGTCACCATGGTTGTTTAATATATTTATAGATGGGGTTGTAAAGGAAGTAAATGCTAGGGTGTTCGGGAGAGGGGTGGGATTAAATTTTGGGGAATCAAATTCAAAATGGGAATTGACACAGTTACTTTTTGCTGATGATACTGTGCTTATGGGAGATTCTAAAGAAAAATTGCAAAGGTTAGTGGATGAGTTTGGGAATGTGTGTAAAGGTAGAAAGTTGAAAGTGAACATAGAAAAGAGTAAGGTGATGAGGGTGTCAAATGATTTAGATAAAGAAAAATTGGATATCAAATTGGGGAGGAGGAGTATGGAAGAAGTGAATGTTTTCAGATACTTGGGAGTTGACGTGTCGGCGGATGGATTTATGAAGGATGAGGTTAATCATAGAATTGATGAGGGAAAAAAGGTGAGTGGTGCATTGAGGTATATGTGGAGTCAAAAAAACGTTATCTATGGAGGCAAAGAAGGGAATGTATGAAAGTATAGTAGTACCAACACTCTTATATGGGTGTGAAGCTTGGGTGGTAAATGCAGCAGCGAGGAGACGGTTGGAGGAAGTGGAGATGTGCTGTTTAAGGGCAATGTGTGGTGTAAATATTATGCAGAAAATTCGGAGTGTGGAAATTAGGAAAAGGTGTGGAGTTAATAAAGTATTAGTCAGAGGGCAGAAGAGGGGTTGTTGAGGTGGTTTGGTCATTTAGAGAGAATGGATCAAAGTAGAATGACATAGAAAGCATATAAATCTATAGGGGAAGGAAGGTGGGGTAGGGGTCGTCCTCGAAAGGGTTGGAGAGAGGGGGTAAAGGAGGTTTTGTGGGCAAGGGGCTTGGACTTCCAGGTGCGTGAGCGTGTTAGATAGGAGTGAATGGAGACGAATGGTACTTGGGACCTGACGATCTGTTGGAGTGTGAGCAGGGTAATATTTAGTGAAGGGATTCAGGGAAACCGGTTATTTTCATATAGTCGGACTTGAGTCCTGGAAATGGGAAGTACAATGCCTGCACTTTAAAGGAGGGGTTTGGGATATTATATATATATATATATATATATATATATATATATATATATATATATATATATATATATATATATATATATATATATATATATATATATATATATATATATATAATGCATAAAGTTTAATTTGGTTGTCTTTAAAGGTGTATGTATATATAAAAATAATACACAACCTACTCTTTGCATTGCTCTTACCTCTGAAGCTCCACATCTTCATCATCTCGGCCCGGAGTTCTTTGGCCATGCGACTGAGCTCGGCGTTCATGGCCAGCAGGTCCTGAGGGTCGCAGGTGTAGGAGGGGGAGGAAGAGGAGTGTCCTCTGAAACTTCTGCTGGAAGTCAGCGTCCCAGTTGCCGTTGTCTCCTGGCCAAGGCCCATGCTGCTCTCCCAGCTCCCGCAACCCTATAACGTGCCAGAATAAAGTAATTACCTTTGATTTTATATTCGATGAGTTCAGAGAGTCATTCTACTCCCTAAGCCCGGCCATGGGCCAGGCTCGTCTGGTGCTTGCTTGATCAACCAGGCTGTTGCTGTTGGTGGCCCGCTGCCCCACCTGTCCATCACAGCCTGGTTGATCTAGCACCTGATGGAGATACTTGTCGTTTCCTCTTGTCCCAGCAGTGTTTCTGATACCTTCTCGAAAGATGTTAAATAATCTGGGGCCAAGGATGTAGATACAGTGTTCCCTTATTGTGCCCACCGCACTCCTGCTTTTCACTTCCTCCCATATCTCTCGCTCAAGTATGTTGTTATGGTAGATTTGGGACCAGGCCCTCAAATATTTTCCAGGTACATATTATCATGTATCTCTCTCTCTCTCTCCTCCTAAGGCGTTCCTAGTAATTCAAATGCTGTACTGGCTGTGTGTGGGTCATAAATGATCTCTGTATTTGTTCCAGCTCTGATATTTCTTCAGCCCTGAACGAGGCCTTCAACACGGAACAATATTCCAAATGAGGGAGCACTAGCGATTTGAAAAGTATCTCCATTGGCATTATTTCCCCTTGTTTCGAAGGTTCTCAATATCCATCCCCTCATTCTTCTGGCTGTCGTGACCTTTATCTTATGTTCTTTGATTATTATTATTATTATTATAATCAAAAAGAAGCGCTAAGCCACAAGGGCTATACAGCGCTTTATGTTCTTTGAAAGAAAGGTCAGCTGACATAATTATTCTCAAGTTTTTCATGTGTTCCTATTGTTCTATTTGATGATCCTCTTGAGTTTTGTTTATAGTGTTCCTTTTCGATTACTGACACAGATGCAACTGTAACATTCCATTGTGGCAACGCTTCGCTCTCCAGGAGCTTTGTCAAACTCCTGGAGAGCGAAACGTTGTCACAATAAAATGTCACATTAGTCACATCCTTGTCCACTTACCTAACATTTTAGTATTAGCGTTTTCATTTTTTTTTGTTATTTTCATGATATTTTGCTCAGGACTGAGTATCATCAACCCAGACTGAATTAGTTGCCCTTCAAATTAACCAGTGAGGAAGCGGAAAAGACAAGCGACTTATTTGTACTTTCAGACTCAATACCAGACTAATTTAGTTTAAAATTTATATCATTAAGAATATTGTAATATGCAATAATGCTAGAGCATAACAAAATACTAATATAAAGCTTGTGTAGATAACACACCGCAGGGAATGAGAGCTCTTGAACTGGCAGAAATAGGATCACAAGAAATAGCACATAGGCTTAGAGAAAATGCAGTAATTACAAGGAAAATGCAAATTAATATTAGAGACGATGAACTCGGTGTTAAAGATACCTTAGGAAATAGTAAATCTGCAGATCATTATAATGGGTTGCATTAGATGAAGGTATGTAAATTATTATTATATTATATATTAATCTGGAAGCATTCAGCTTCAAGGTAAGAAAGTAATGAAATATAACCAGCTTCAAGGTAAGAAGAGTAATAATCGAAAGTAGCGTGGTGGGTCACCGTGGGCAGGATTCGTTTAAGTTACCTGTATATGTAGCTGGTTGGTGTAGCAACTCCAGGAGAGGAGAGGTAACGTGATGTGTAGCGAGGAGCATCAACACAATTTCAAGCATAACTTAGATGACTTGACCCTGGAGACCAATAACCACTAACCTACAAATTATTATTATAATCAAGGGGGAAGCGCTAAACCCGGAGGATTATACAGCGCCTGGGGGGGGGGGATGTGGAAGGCATTCAGGCTTAATTCGGGGAACTGGAGCACAGATCCAATTCCCTAAATCAAGAGCCCCTCACCAACATCAAGGAACTTTCCTTGAGGGGTCTAACCTACAAAAGCAGGTATCCTTGATTTGAAAGAACCATACATAGAAACACTCACGTGTGGAGAATCGCCGGGTACTACTATAGCCTCGATCGATGACCAGGTTCTGGCTGGGGTGACCTTTCCTCGACGCTGGGGAGAAGTCATGTCGCCGGCGAGCCGTAGCGAGGAGCGTCCTCGCAGGCTCCTCTGGCGGTAGGCGGCAGCGGTGGCGGCGTGGCCAGCTCCTCCACCTCGACGCTCCAGACCATGCTTGGCCACCAGCGCTTGCTCCAGTCGTTTGGCCTATGGTCACACAACACATGTTAGACTGCAGGTCTACCTACTGAACGTGGGTATATATTTAGCATTGCATATTTGTAAATACAGGAGTAGCGCTATATTTGTCCTGTCCCGTCTGCAGTGTGTAATCTACATATTTTTTCCAGAAGTCTGTGGCTATCATTATCTTTATTACCATATTCACTAGGAAGCGCTAAACCCCTAAAGGGGATCATACAGCGCCTGAGAAATGGGAGGTAATCCGATTTGATCCACTAATATGTATTATTATTATTATTATAATCAAAAAGAAGCGCTAAGCCACAAGGGCTATACAGCGCTTAGCTTTTAATCTGAAGCTGTCCTTCCAATGGTCACAGCTTTTGACTCGAAGCTGCCTTTCCAACGTTCACCTAACCTTTAATCACTTAAAGTCGATCTCATAAAGGCCTCACCTGGAAGAGGAGGTCGCCCGTCAGGTTATGTAGCTTCTGAACCTTCTTGGGCGGAGCTTTTTTGACTTTGCGATGCTCCCGGGGTCGACTCTCCCGCCTCTCCACCTCTTTTTCCACGATCTTCAACTCTCCCTCCTTCGACGTCTCCTCCTTCGCCAGGCCTTCTGTTGTGGCCTTCTGTGTCATTTCCTTGGTCTTCCGATCATCTTGCAGGACCTCAGGCAAGTGCTCCTCTACGACCACGCTGAAAGTACAAGAGAGTGCGACGTGACACAGACGGTACAGGGTAAAGATACATGATATATAAACGGTACAAAACACCTCTCGGTGTATTTACTTTGTGTGAAGGTAATGACGAGCTCACCTGTCTTCAGGGGGAAGACTGAGTTCATGACTTGGACATTGTACAGTCTGAATGTTGACCTCAGCGCCAGCGTCCTGCAGCTCACGGATTCTCTGCACTAGCGACTCTGCAATTTCAGTCTCGTGCTCCTTGTGTAGCTTGAAGGCGCGCTAAGGAAGAAGCAACGGGGGCTCATGACACTCATATTGCAACACGAACTCCTTAATGTCAATGATACGAAAATTAATGTGAAAGTATCAGAATAGAGTGGTGCCAACACTTTTGCATAGGTGCAAGACATGACCTCGGTTGTGGCGAGAAATGAAACAAAAGGAAGTGGAAATGTGTTTGAGATCAATACGAGGCAAGAATGTTATGCAGAATATAATAGTTTAGTATTGTGTTGCGCTAAAGCCGCGTGGCTCCTTCAGCCCAAGAAGTGGTAGGTGCTCGATCAACCATGAGATTAAAGTAAGACAGACACATTACCCTTCAGTATATACTAGCGCAGTGAATATGGAGTGAAGAGGTTAGAAGATGGTGGGGTTGTAGGAAGACATAATTCAGGGAGCTGAAGGAGGATTGTTGACATACTTTGGTCATTTAGAAACGATAGAACAACATAGGATGGACAGAGGGTATATAAATTTCTGGTGAATGAATATATTTAGTTCTTAGTTGTGCCGCCTGAGGATGGGTGGAGGTATGACACATCCCAGAAGGGGATGGGAAGAAAATAAAAGAGGAAACAAAACCACGGTACGGGTTTGTGCATTCAACCTACCCAGCTATTTACTGAGAAACTTGCCCTGACTTCAGTGCTATGCACTCAACGGACCCAGCTGAGCAACCACAATCTCGCTATCTCACCTCCAGCTGCTCCTTCTCGTCCATGAGGTGGTCTCCCCGCATCTCCAGCTCGACGATGCGAGCTTTGAGCTGGTTGATGAGTCGTTGGTTGGCCTCAGTGTCATCGTCAGCAGCAGTGTGGTGGTCGTCCTCTTCACCCAGCGGGATGCTGCTCGAGTCCTTCATTATCATGGTAACTTGTCGGTGTAGCTTCTCTATTGTGTAAACAATTCATATCAATTACAACTTTCAAATTAACTATATATAATATCACATTTTATCTCTAAATTCAAGGATCTCACAACTCCGTCAGCAATGGTCTCCGGAGAAACACGTATATAATTTTGGTCGCGGAAGATTGCACTTATCATCTCGTACAGAAATTTAGTTAAAACACGTAAGACATAGTCCTGGTATAAAACATAAGGGAAAAGACGTTAATAAAAAATATAAATAGCTCTCTAAAGACTTGAGAAAGCTTGGTCTCCAGAGGAAAAGATGTCTCAATAAAATTTTCATTGCGTCAGTGTCTTTTGATCAGTTTGTGGATTGTATATGCTCTTACTCCATGGCGACATACCAAGCAAGAAAAAGATGAAAAAAAAAGAATAACTCAGTGAATTCCAATAGTATTATCCCCATAGGAGCACATTAACCATAATTAAATATATTTCAATTTTTGTGTGTTCGAGAAATATAAGAGTGGACACCATGGGTGTGTCAAGACGCTCTGCTCGAGAAACATGTATTTGACTTTAACAAATCCTACTTGTATGTGCAATGGAGAAGGTGTGCTGTTATTCCTAAATCCCTACATCAGGTCACTCTCACTCATTACCTTAAGTAACCCTCACCCACCTGCATGAGGTATCCTTTAAGGGGCACTTAAAGGAAACAGACAAAGCAAACGCGATAGTAATTATGGGCAAGGTAGATTATAGTGAAAAAATGAACAGTTATTAGAAGACGGGGGAATTTACATGCCTCTTAACCACTACCTCAGATCCCCCCCCCCCTACATCTCGCCCATTACCTAGGGTTCTGAGGTGCTGGTCGGCCACGTTGTCCATCTTGGAGTCGATATCGCCCATCTGGGTCTCGAGGGCGCGGCAAAGGTCCTCCTGCTGGCGGAGTTTATCCAGGAGACTCATGTTCTCGTGGAGGAGAGAGCGGTAGGAACCCTGCGTGCGACTGCTGTCGGAGCGTCGTAGTTTGTCTACCACGTCCTCGTCGTCGTCAGCGCGGCGACGACGTGTCACATCCTCCTCACTGCAGACACAGACGGGGAAAAGCCAACTTTATTTCTTACTCTCCCTTGAGGGGAGGTGTCTTGATGCCGGTGAAGGGCTCTTGGTCCAAAAAACTGGAGTTCTCACCTTCCTTGGATCGAATCTAATTGCCTCCATTCCACATGCTCTCCACGGGTTTAGTGCTCCCCATGTATGTAATAAAATAATTAATATAATAAATTTCAATTTTTCCATCCTCCCTTCTCTTTCTCTCTATATATTTAACAATTTAAGATTATCTGAATCGGTAACCTTAGATACTTGGGTCTCTGCGAGGTCCAAGACTCAATTCGCAAAAGCCTAAGACTTGCCCACAAAGGCCTAACACTCACCTGCAGAGACCTAAGGCTCACCTGCCGGAGGAGTCGATATTCCTGGTGATCTCTGCTGGAGCGTAGGGTGTGGATAGATCATGGAGGGACGGGGTGTCATCGACCACCTCCTCCAACTGCACCAACACGGCCACCTTTGGTGTGGTGATGTCGTCGGCAGCCAGCGTGGGCTCACTCGCTGCTTTGTTCTCTGCTGGAGATGCACACGAAATATACGAGATCAGTACCAAAATTGTGCTACGCTTAAAACCAATACTGTATCACTACTACAATCACTATAGTTTTACATATCATATGTTCATTCATGTAAGGTATGAGCATATATTTTATTCCAAAAGGCTTACGACTTGCACTGCGGTGTAAAAGTACTATTGTATTTATGCGAACATGCTCAACCCATACAGAACATACAACACTTGGGGAATGGAAAGTATTCGTGTCTGATCAAAGAAATGTCAACAAAAAAACGTCTACCAAAGTTTCAGTTGCCTGAAATTCCAAAATGAGTTCTGCAAGTTGTCTGCGTACACTCAGCATAAAAAATTATTTGTACTGTATTGTATTTCAAGAAGCACTAAGCCCATGTGGGTCATTCGCGGCACGTAGTGGAGACTCGGACCTCCGTTCGCTGAGCGAGACCGCTTCTAACTAGTTAGATCATTTTAAATTCATAGAAAATTTGAGTCGGATAGTGGCTTAGCGCTTCTTTTTGATTATAATAATAATGTTCGGTAAACCAAAATAAACACAATAGTTTCAGGTTGCATTAGTGAAACTCTCGTGTGCCTGACCTTAATAATTGTTACTGTGTTCACATCAAATGATAAATCTTTGTGGGTCATTCAGTGCATAAAATTGCTAGCGTAGACAAAGAAATGCATGTAATTACCAGAGAAGACAAAACAATAACAAGTAACACCGCTGTGGATAGCGGAGTTATGGATGTGGAGTGTGGGGCAGACGGCGAGGATGGTATATTTAGCTTATATGAAAATACACCAAGAAATATCTAAGCAATAAAAACCAAAGCGTGCCATAAAAAAAAGAAAGGAAAGACACGTCAAGAGAAAAAAAAAACGGAGATTGATAGTAATGTGCTGTCAACCAACCCCATATGCTATTCCCCCGCCACATCCTAAGATGTTTTTTTAATGAATGAGGGCTCGAGTCAGAGCCGAAAACGACCCACTTACAGCTCCCAGCTGTTCTGCTCGTCACACTAGCGACTTTCGCGAAAAAATAAGGTGGCGGGTAATGTATGACGTCAGAGTATGGTGACACACGTCTGGCAGGGTTGTGTAGGGTGCCGCTGCCAGACGTAATGAGCCCCTTGATGTCTGTTAAAATTCTAAATGCTATCTGTTATGTGAATATGATTGTGTAATTATGAAAAGTGTCATAAAACAATTGTCTTACATTTACAGAATGTTAATCACTAGCTCTACTCCCTCTTGTAAAAGAACCACATTATTCTACATAATTGTTCATTTGTTAAATTACTTTATAAAGATCGGATTAAGCGTATCTTTTTGAGTAATTCCTTATATTTTCACTTTACACTTGGGACCACTTTGGTTAGGTCGGCTTAAATCCTATCGTCTGCACGAGGATCACTAAGGACACACGGTAACCTTTTCACCATCAGAAAAGAATATAATTAATCCCGAAAAATAGGGAATAAAGTAAACTCTTAGCATATAAACGATGAAAGAAATATACCCCTCATGGTATATATAACAATTTTTGGTTCGAGTGGTCCAAGCGGATAACTTTTACAATACAAAAATTAAAGCACTCAACATGTATGTTAATATGCTGGTGACTAATGATCTAAAAGTATGACATTTTCATTAATTCTTTATTAAATTAATTGGGCTAGGTAATGTTAACTCCCAAACTGATCAACATTTGTGGGCATCGTGTTAAGGCGTTTACCAGTTTAAAACAATGCTGAAGACAAGCAAATTCTTAATTCGTATAATAACAGAGAAAAAGTATAGAAGGTAGTCAATCAGTGCCTTAAGTGGATATCTAATAAAGCAGCAAATAAAAAAGTTAAATTAACAGAGAAAATCTTAGTTTGTTTAATAAGGTGCTAAAGGCAGAGGTCTATTTCGTGATACACTTCACAACTAGGTGAAAGAAGTGGACGAGTGAGATACCTAAACCAGTGTAAACCTACATTATAATGACGTTAACTTCATGAAACTCTCCTCGAGAGAAACGCTGTTTTAATCAAGGTTATGCTGTTTTTGATGTTTCTTTTATTCATCCACTAATCAACTCAGAGCTTCTTCCCACGTAGTGATTCACGATACTGGTAGCCACCTCAATTGTCTTCAATATCTGCATTAAATGAACTAAGATTTTATTTTTTAATTTGTTTAACTGTTGTTGTGTCATCAGGTTTCCATCTATGGGATTTATTTACTTTATACATTTTCCTCCATTCACTGCACACTTGCCTCTCCTGTAACCTACACCACAACACAGTGGGATGAATATATTACTCGACCATTCACAGAATTATTAATAGATCATCCTTATCAAATAGCGGGGAGATACTTTTAACACGCTTACAAGTGTTATTGTGTGACCGTTGTGGGTTTAGCGCTCCTTTTTATTATTATAATACTAATAATCTTATAAGTGGTTTATATTAAATGTAGGTGGATAACTAGAACATAATTATAAGGTCAGTCTCACAACTTAAGTGAATAATTTAAACATACTTTTACATTACTCTAATGTGAGTTCTGAAGAAGTCTTTGCCATGCTAGATGATAAAATGTAATAATTCATTAATAAAACTTTTGAGCGACATTAAATTCAGTTTAATCAATTACTCATTAAAGGCCTTCAATTTTCAACGCAAAATAAAGTCAAGAAGACAGGCCTCTCGACACAGTAGCGAGGTGGATGGCAGTGCTTACCTTGAAGACCGGGATCTTCTGTTTCCATTTCGTTGAGTGAGAGGCTGGACGGGTGTGAGTGCACCGAGGTGGCCACTAGCTCCGCCTTCATCGATGACTCTGATTTAGATCTACAAAAGACACGAAAAACACCTGTGTCAAGGACTGTATATTATTGCATTTCACGAAGCGCTAAACCCCGTATGGGTCATGAAGCAAAAGGACTGGAGGCTTGATGCTCTGCTAGCTAATCACCAAAATTTAGAAGTGGTTCTTTTGGCAATGTCTCTTGCGACTGAGATGTTGATTTGATTTTGCTGCCGAAGTAGCTAGTTTATTGTGCACTTCATATCTATCCTGTGGGTGGTAGCGCAAGAGCATATGGATATACAAAAGGTCTGGAAACTAGGCCCCAAAATGGCTAACAAGAGTATATGTGGATTTACATATACAATCGATTTATCGGTACCAAGAAAATTTAGGAAATTTGCTTCATATGTTTATAGAGGGGCCAACGGATATATCGGATCATTATCTAGTTGTAGCTACATTTAGAGTAAGAGGTAGATAGGACAAAAGGAAAACGGCAACAGTAAGAGATGAAAGTTTATAAACCAAATAAGTTAGGGTGAGATAGAAGCAACTATTGGCAGAAAGGTGGGCTAGTGCAAGTACGGGTAGTGAGGGGGTTGAAGAGGGATGGGATAGTTTTAAAAATGGAGTATTAAAATGTGGGGCAGAAGTTTGTGGCTATAGGAGGGTGGATGCAGGAGGAAAGAGGAGTGATTGGTGGAATGATGAGGTAAAGGGTGCGATAAAAGAGAAAAAGGTAGCTTATGAGAGGTTTTTACAAAGCAGAAGTGATATAAGAAGGGCTGGGTATATGGACAGTAAAAGAAAGGTGAAGACAGTGGTGAGAGTGCGTAAAAGGAGAGCAAATGATAGAGTGGGAGAGGCACAGTCAAGAAATTTTTCTGAGAATAAGAAAATTTTTTGAAGTGAGATAAACAAGTTAAGAAAGCCTAGGGAATGAATGAATTTGTCAGTTAAAAACAGTAGATGAGGAGCTGGAGGTATTGGGTAGATGGCGGGAATATTTTGAGGAACTTCTAAATGTAGATGAAGAAAGGGAGGAAGTAATTTCATGCACTGGTCAGGGAGGTATAACATTTTTTAGGAGTGAAGAAGAGCAGGATGTGAGTGTAGGGGAGGTGCATGAGGCATTATGTAGAATGAAAGGGGGTAAAGCAGCTGGAACTGACGGGAGCCTGACAAATGTTAAACGCAGGGGGAGTTATACCGTTGGAGAGGTTGGCATTTTTGTTTAATAAATGTATGAAAGAGGGAAAGGTACCTAGGGACTGGCAGAGAGCGTGTATAGTTCCTTTATATAAAGGGAAGGGGGACAAAAGAGATTGCAAAAATTATAGGCAAATAAGTTTACTGAGTATAACAGGAAAAGTGTATGGTATGGGTATTATTGTAAGAATTAGAGGTAAGACAGAAAGCATGATTGCAGATGAGCAAGGAGGCTTTAGAACGGGTAGGGGATGTGTAAATCAGGTGTTTATTTTGAAGTGTATATGTGAACAGTATTGTTTTCATTGCATTTATGGATTTAGAAAAGGCTTATGACAGAGTGGATAGGGGAGCAATGTGGCAGATGTTGCAAGTGTATGGAATAGGTGGTAAGTTACTAAATGCTGTGAAGTTTTTTAATAGGATAGTGAGGCTCAGGTTAGGGTGTGTAGGAGAGAGGGAGACTACTTCTCAAGTAAAAGTAAGTCTTAGACAGGTATGTGCAATGTCACCATGGTTGTTAAACATATTTATAGATGGGGTTTTAAAAGAAGTAAATGCTAGGGTGCTTGGGAGAAGGATGGGATTAAATTATGGGGAATCAAATACAAAATGGGAGTTGACACAGTTACTTTATGCTGATGATACTGTACTCTTGGGAGAGTCTAAAGAAAAATTGCAAAGGTTAGTGGAAGAGTCTGGGAGGGTGCGTGAAGGTAGAAAGTTGAAAGTAAACACAGAGCAAGGTGATGAGGGTATCAAACAATTTAGATAAAGAAAAATTGGATATCACATTGGAAGGAGGGAGTATGAAAGAAGTGAATGCTTTCAGATATTTGGGAGTTGACTTATCAGCGGATGGGTTTGTGAAAGATGAGGTTAACTATTGAATTGACGAAGGAAAAAACGTGAGTGGTGCATTGAGATGTCTGTGGAGACAAAGAAGGTTATCCATGGAGGCAAAGAAGGGAATGTACGAGAGTATAGAAGTACACTCTTTTATGGGTGTGAAGCATGGGTTGTAAATGCTGCAGCGAGGAGACGGCTGGAGGCAGTGGAGATGTCGTGTCAAAGGGCAATGTGTGGTGTAAATATTATGCAGAGAATTCGTAGTGTGGAAATTAGGAGGTGTGAAGTTACTAAAAGTACAGTATTAGTCAAAGGGCTGAGGAGGGGCTGTTGAGGTGGTTTGATCATTTAGAGAGAATGGAACAAAGTAGAATGACTTGGAGAGCTTATAAATCTGTACGAGGAAGGCAGGGTAGGGGTCGTTCCCGGCAAGATTATAAGAAGGGGGTAAAGGAGGTTTTGTGGGCGAGGGGCTTGGACTTCCAGCAAGCGTGAGTGAGCGTGTTAGATAGGAGTGAATGGAGACGAATGATTTTTGGAACCTGACGAGCTGTTGGAGTTTGAGCAGGGTAATATTTTGTGAATGGATTCAGGGAAACCGGTTAGCCGAACTTGAGTCCTGGAAATGGTTAGTACAATGCCTTCACTTTAAAGGAGGGGTTTGGGATATTGGCAGTTTGGAGGGACGTCTAAGCTGTCGTGTCTGAGCGCCTCTGAAAAGACAGTGATTATGTGTGAGTGATGGTGAAAGTGTTAAACGATGAAAGTTTTTTTCTTTCTTTTTGGGTTTTTCTTTCTTTTTTGGATTTTACTTTCTTTTTGGGTCACCCTGCCTCGATGGGAAACGGCCGACGTGTTAAAAAAAATCTGGTATTTTATTTTCATTAATAAGACATCCTCACATATATTTTCTATCTCTATATTCCTCAACAAGTGATCAATTAAGCAGTGTTCAAGATAACACACTATAAAGCTGGCCAAATACTCTGCATTTAGTTTGAAGAAAAATCCTGGGAATAGACCCGTGTCAATGTTTTGAAAGCATCTCTAACCATGAAGCACGAAGTATCATGTATAAATGTATGATAATGCATATTATACATTGTAGATTGGAGTGAGTGGAGACGAATGGTTTTTGGGACTTGACAAGCTGTTGGAGTGTGAGCAGAGTAATATTTTGTGAAGGGATTAAGGGAAAACCAGTTAGCCGGACTTGAGTCCTGGAGGTGGGAAGTACAGTGCCTGCACTCTAGAAGGATTTAGGACATTTGTTGTTTAGTGACATTTAAACCGTCGTATGATCTCGTATCTACGCGCTTTTGGCACGACAGTAATAGTGTGAATGATGGTGAAAATGTTTCTTTTCCGGGTCACCTGCCTCGATGGGCAACGGCTAGCGTGTTAAAAAAATTATTCGTACGTCTACTATTCAGTGGATTGCAGGGAATGGAACCAGGGCAAGAATTTACAAGCTCGCCTTTATACCGACCATGCTAACTGGAACTTTGATAAGAAGCTCAGAACGACATACAGTACCTTGGTACAAGCACCTCTGGCAGCTTGACATAAACACAAGTGATTTTCCAACTAAATGTAAAGTATGCAGTCATCCCAGAAGCCTCTCGAACATTACTGGATTGCGAGTGTATGTACCGGGCAATATAGCCCGGTACATACACTCATGTCGGAGTTGATTAGTTCGAGTCTAAAGCGTTGAAAGGTAAGTCCACTCAATGAAGAATATTGAAATGGGTATTACATTAACATATGATAAGTCATGATATTTTATTAATGAATTAATATTATTATTATTATTATGAATTTAAGCGCTAAGCCCTAAGGGACATACAGTTGAATGGTCATACTGGCGCCTCTGGTCCGAAAGGCCTGGGTATTAGTTCCTTATTGAATATAGTAACAAAAGTGTTTAAACATTTATTATTGAAACTGCGATACCACAAATTCTGGAGCTTTGCATCAGCATTAAGGCTCCTAAGACTTCTGTGTAGTTATGTGTTCTTGCGCTACCATCCACAGGATGAATTTAGGGTTACAAAAATTCTGCGTTTACCCGGTTTCCTTCCTACTTTTATTTCTTTCCTTTTCCGTGTCTCTTTTTCTCTCTCACAAAGGACCCACCTGACCAGCCTGAGCACTTCGGGGCTCTTGGGTTTCTCGAGGACCTCCTTCTCTGGAGCCTTGTAGTTAGGGTCGAGGAGAGCGATGGTGGAGGACTCTGGCCGGATGCCTCGCCGCTCCTCCCACTCGTACAACTTCTTGGTGAACGTCTGACTGATACCCTCGAAGCGGAATTCTCCCGTTGACGTCTTGATGTAGATCTCTTTCTTCTTTGCTGGACCCCCCTGACCCATCGCTTGACGCATCTTCTCCAATCTGAAATATCCTTTTTTTATATAATTGTTTACAAGTAATAACTAGGTGAGTAGAATTAAATAACGCATCTGTCGTCAGTGTCTCAATTGCGATTAATAGTGTACATATACTACTACTACTACTACTACTACTAATAATAATAATAATAATAATAATAATAATAAACTGTTGTAATTTTGGACCTGTTGGTTCTATAAATATTTATCATTACACAAGATCCCGCCACTATTGGACACAGATGGTAACTTCCCCACCTGGCTTGTCTTTCCAGGAATTTCTCCTTTTCCCTCTCAAGCCTTTGGGTCTCGCGTTCCACTTTGTGTAGCTCCTTCTCCAGCCACTGTAGTTCCTTGTCAGACTTGTCGCGCCCCTTGTGGCCGCTCTCAGCCTTACCCTAAGATTGTTGACCAGGTTAGATAATATCGTAACCGATTTATCCAAACATACTGGGTAACTATTATTATATTCATGAAAAGACACTAAACCCATAGGGGCCACAAAGCGCTGCAACATATAATAAATACATTAATGCATATGAAAGAACCACAACTCAAAAAAAACGGTCTATTATGTCTGTGGGAACAAATTCTACTCACCAGCGGTGCCTTCTCCGTTTTGCCTGATTTTGTCTTTTTTATTTTCTGACCTGACCCTTTTCTGTCCAGCCTAGGGCTCGAACTTCCTGCAGTTGTGGGTTTTGGGAGGACCTGACTTGCAGAGACGGAAGGCTTCACCTGAGATGGACCGGAGACACTGCCAAATTTGTGCATTTGAGCTGCAGAGGCTGATGCTTTAACCTGTATGTTTCCTGCAGAGGCCGAGGACTTTACCTGAGGGTGCCCCGGAGTGGGCTTAATGTGTCCCTGGTTAGCTGAAGCTTTGATTCTCTCCCATTCTGCCATCTTACGATTGAATTCTTCACCCAGGTTTTTCTGCAGTTCCTCCACGTTGTGCTGACTCTGTCCTACAAGAGCCTTGCGGATCTTCCACTCGGTAAGCTTTTTCCTGAAGTCTGCAGGAAGGTCCTCTTCGCCATGAATCTTTGTTTTAACGTCTTCCTGGCCTCGTGGAACCTCATTCTTACCCTGTGGAAGGATAAACACGGAAGTTAGACAAGGAAGACATATTTAGAACATAAGAAAGGTGAAGCACTGCAGTAGGCCTACTGTGGTATGTGAATACAGGCACTTATGTACAAATAAGTCATATGTGCAGTGTCAGAATATTTTAATGAGGAATATTTAGTCACGAATGGCTGCTTTATCTCAATTCTTTTTTTTCAACACGTCGGCCGTCTCCCACTGAGGCAAGGTGACTTAAAAAAAGAAACACTTTCACTATCATTCACACATAATTACTGTCTTATCTACACTTATATACAGTTCAGGACATTTGTTAAAGAAAACGTGTCGTCATGAGTGGCTTCAGTCTAAATCATTAAGAAACATTTCGTTGTAATAAATGCCCTTAATTATACATAAGTGCTTTATCAACCGCTTGTCGATATCATTATAACACTTACAACTGCTGGCTCATGCTAGGCAAGTCTTTCTCAAGCACAGCCCTTCTCACTCGTATATTTATCCAACTAATTTATATTTTTATTATTGGTTTAGAAAGACACGTGAGCAAAAACTAGGACATATTTGTTACAAAACGTTTCGGTCCTGGGACTTCGATCACTTCTAACATACAGAGGTTAAAAAGTCAGTATATATATGGGCAGAGTGAGGTGTGAGTGACGCATAGTGACCTGAAGAATGACATAAAGGATGAGGACAGGTAAACAACGTGATCTGACTCCTGTGTTGTCAGATAGGAAGTGCGTTGCCTGGTTATCATCATCATCCTCATCATCATCATCATCATCATCATAATAATAATAATAATAACAATTTTATTTACTACAAGTACATGTACAAGGTATACAGTCCTAGCTGACATCAATGATATACTACTATATAGAAAGTCGCTTGTTATGCACAGCATTTCGGGCAAATTAGGTCAGTTTTCTCCCAGGATGCGACCCACACCAGTCGGCAAACATCCAGGTACCCATTTTACTGATGGGAAACACAGACAACCGGTGTAAAGAAACACGCCCAATGTTTCTACCCTCGCTGGAAATCGAACCCAGACCCCTCACCGTGTAAAGCGAGAGCTTTAGCCACCAGCTCATGGGGCTTCTGTAGTTTCCCGTATTATGTTCTTTGGTGTCGGTGACGGCGATTAGCGAGGCTTCCAGACATCGTCAGGCGTTTAAGGTCTTCTCCAAGTGTTTCCTTACGAGTCTTTCTAAACCAATTTATCGGTATCTATTACCAAGGTTTATACCATATTTTTGATTATCGTTACATTAATGAATGAAGCAATAAAGAAATAGGGGTCATAGTGTCTGTGGGAATAAAAAAAATAATCAGGTTCGATCCAAGGAAAGAGCTGTATAATCCCTACGAATGTAATAAGAATAGTAATGTAAAAGAGGCAGAAGAAATATGAGTGACAAGGGTTGGGTCTGACAAGGACCTATATTTTTCACAGGTACCAGGTGTTACCTTCGATAATTCTACTCCACGGACTTTTTCACTCATCCACAACTATATTTTCAACTCTAAATTTTGTATTCATTGTTTCGAATTCTTTCACAGTTAGATATCCACGTGTATATTTCATCCCTTCCTCTCATTCTACGTCTTTCAAGAAAGTGTAGGTTCAGGGTTGTCAGCCTATCTTCACAAGAAAGATTTTTTTATTATAAGAATTAGAAACTGAAAGGAAGGTGAGACTCGTCTAAATAGCATGATTATGGGTAAAAAGTGAATAGGAGCATGGAACTGAAAATGTATGGCATAATAATTATAAAACAGAATACGATGGAGATAGAAATGGATGCACTGTATACTAGCAGAGCCGGATTAAGATTCTGTAGGCCCCTGGGCTACAGGTACTGTGAGGCCCCTGGGCTACAGGTACTGTGAGGCCCCTGGGCTACAGGTACTAAGGCCCCTGGGCTACAGGTACTGTGAGGCCCCTGGGCTACAGGTACTGTGAGGCCCCTGGGCTACAGGTATTGTGAGGCCCCTGGGCTACAGGTACTGTGAGGCCCCTGGTCTACAGGTACTGTGAGGTCCCTGGGCTACAGGTACTGTGAGGCCCCTGGGCTACAGGTACTAAGGCCCCTGGGCTACAGGTACTGTGAGGCCCCTGGGCTACAGGTACTGTGAGGCCCCTGGGGTACAGGTACTGTGAGGCCCCTGGGCTAAAGGTACTGTGAGGCCCCTGGGCTACAGGTACTGTGAGGTCCCTGGGCTACAGGTACTGTGAGGCCCCTGGGCTACAGATACTGTGAGGCCCCTGGGCTACAGGTACTGTGAGGCCCCTGGGCTACAGGTTTCTGTGAGGCCCCTGGGCTTCAGGTACTGTGAGGCTCCTGGGCCTTCAGGTACTGTGAGGCTCCTGGGCTACAGGTACTGTGAGGCCCCTGGGCTACAGGTACTGTGAGGCCCCTGGGCTACAGGTACTGTGAGGCCCCTGGGCTACAGGTACTGTGAGGCCCCTGGGCTACAGGTACTGTGAGGCCTGGGCTACAGGTACTGTGAGGCCTCCCGGGCTACAGGTACTGTGAGGCCCCTGGGCTACAGGTATGTGAGGCCCCTGGGCTACAGGTACTGTGAGGCCCTGGGCTACAGGTACTGTGAGGCCCCCGGGCTACAGGTACTGTGAGCCCTGGGCTACAGGTTTCTGTGAGGCCCCTGGGCTACAGGTACTGTGAGGCCCCTGGGCTTCAGGTACTGTGAGGCCCCTGGGCTTCAGGTACTGTGAGGCTCCTGGGCTACAGGTACTGTGAGGCCCCTGGGCTACAGGTACTGTGAGGCCCCTGGGCTACAGGTACTGTGAGGCCCCTGGGCTACAGGTACTGTGAGGCCCCTGGGCTACAGGTACTGTGAGGCCCCTGGGCTACAGGTACTGTGAGGTCCTGGGCTACAGGTACTGTGAGGCCCCTGGGCTACAGGTACTGTGAGGCCCCTGGGCTACAGGTACTGTGAGGCCCCTGGGCTACAGGTACTGTGAGGCCCCTGGGCTACAGGTACTGTGAGGCCCCTGGGCTACAGGTACTGTGAGGCCCCTGGGCTACAGGTACTGTGAGGCCCCTGGGCTACAGGTACTGTGAAGCCCCTGGGCTACAGGTACTGTGAGGCCCCTGGGTTACAGGTACTGTGAGGTCCCTGGGCTACAGATACTGTGAGGCCCCTGGGCTACAGGTACTGTGAGGCCCCTGGGCTACAGGTACTGTGAGGTCCCTGGGCTACAGATACTGTGAGGCCCCTGGGCTACAGGTACTGTGAGGCCCCTGGGCTTCAGGTACTGTGAGGCTCCTGGGCTACAGGTACTGTGAGGCCCCTGGGCTACAGGTACTGTGAGGCCCCTGGGCTACAGGTACTGTGAGGCCCCTGGGTTACAGGTACTGTGAGGCCCCTGGGTTACAGGTACTGTGAGGTCCCTGGGCTACAGATACTGTGAGGCCCCTGGGCTACAGGTACTGTGAGGCCCCTGGGCTACAGGGACTGTGAGGCCCCTGGGCTTCAGGTACTGTGAGGCCCCTGGGCTTCAGGTACTGTGAGGCTCCTGGGCTACAGGTACTGTGAGGCCCCTGGGCTACAGGTACTGTGAGGCCCCTGGGCTACAGGTACTGTGAGGCCCCTGGGCTACAGGTACTGTGAGGCTCCTGGGCTACAGGTACTGTGATGTCCCTGGGCTACAGGTACTGTGAGGCCCCTGGGCTACAGGTACTGTGAGGCCCCTGGGCTACAGGTACTGTGAGGCCCCTGGGCTACAGGTACTGTGAGGCCCCTGGGCTACAGATACTGTGAGGCCCCTGGGCTACAGGTACTGTGAGGCCCCTGGGCTACAGATACTGTGAGGCCCCTGGGCTACAGGTACTGTGAGGCCCCTGGGCTACAGATACTGTGAGGCCCCTGGGCTACAGGTACTGTGAGGGTCCCCAGTGATATTTTCAAAAGGAAAAAAAATAATTACAACAGTCAACAGTTCATCATACACGTGATGTAATAACATATTATAATTATAAACTAGGGACTGGCAGAGAGCATTCATAGTTCCTTTATATAAAGGGAAGGGGGATAAAAGTATGAAAATTATAGAGGAATAAAACTACTGAGTATACCTAGGAAAATTTTATGGCAGTGTTATCACTGAAAGAATTAGAGGTAAGATTGAGAGCAGGATCGCAAATGAACAAGGAGGCTTTACAATGAGTAGGGGATGTGTAGACTAAGTGTTTACACTGAAGCATATAAGTGAACAATATTTAGATAAAGGTAGGGAAGTTTTCGTGGCTTGTATGGATTTTGAAAAAGCTTATGATAGGGTGGATAGAGGAGTAATGTGGGAGATGTTGCAAGTGTATGGAATAGGTGGTAAGTTATTACATGCCACAGTTTTTATGAGGATAGTGAGGCTCAGATTAGGGTGTGTAGGAGAGAGGGAGATTACTTTCCAGTAAAAATAGGTCTTAGAAAGGGATGCGTAATGTTACCGTGATTGTTTAACATATTTGTAGATGGGGTTGTAAAAGAAGTAAATGCTAGGGTGTTGGGGAGAGGGGTGGGAGTATATTATACGGATTCAAATACAAAATAACAGTTGATACAGTTACTTTTTGCTAATGATACTGTGCTTTTGGGAGATTCTGAAGAGAAGTTGCAAAGGTTAGTGGACGAGTTTGGGAAGTTGTGTAAAGGAAGAAAGTTGAAAATAAACATAGATAAGAGTAAGGTGATGAGGGTTTCAAATGATTTAGAGAAGGAAAAATTGGATATCAGATTGGGGAAAGTATGGAAGAAGTGTTCAGATATTTGGAAGTAGACTCATCGGCGGATGGGTTTATGAAGGACGGGTAAACCACAGAATTGACGAAGGAAAAAAAGGTGGGTGGTGCACTGAGGTATCTGTGGGGACATGGAAGCAAAGAAGGGAATGTATGAACGGAATGTATAGTGGCACCAACACCCTTATATCGGTGTGGATGTTGCAGCAAGAGGAAGGCTGGAAGCAGTGGAGATGTCGTGTCTAAGGGCAATGTGTGGAGAAAATATTTGCAGACGGCTGAAGAAGGGCTGATGAGGTGATCTGGTCATTTAGAGAGGATGGAGCAATATTGGATGACTCAGAGGGTTTGTAAATATTTAGTGAAGGGAAGGAGAGGTAGGGGTCGTCCTAGGAAAAGATGGAGCGAGAGGTTAAAAGAGGTTTCGTGTGCAAGGGCATGTACATGCAGCAGGCATGTGTGAGCGTGTTACGAGTGAATGGAGACGAATGGTTTTGACCACCTGACGAGCTGTTGGAGTGTGAGCAGGATAATAATTTGTGAAGGGATTCAGTGAAACCGGAGGTGGGACGTACAGTGGGACGTACTTAAAAGGAGGGGTTTGGGATGTAGGCTGTTTGGAGCCACATCTGAACTGTCGTATATGTGCGTCTCTGCAAAGACAGTGATTATGTGTGAATGATGATGAAAGTGTTTCTTTTTTGGGTCAGCCTGCCTCGGTGGGAGACCGCTAGCGTCTTGAAAAAAAATATAAACTTACAGTAGTAACTGTGAACACTTTTCACTTAATCTCTGGAGGCCCTCCAGCTGGCGGTGGCCCCTGGGCTGCAGCCCCTGGAGGCCCTCCAGCTGGCGGAGGCCCCTGGGCTGCAGCCCCTAATGCCTCAGTGCCTTAATCCGGCCCTGCATACTAGTGGCTTTCTTTTGTGCCCAACAATATTTTCTTACATGTAAGCTACATAATAATATAAATAAAACATTTAATTTGAATGCAGGAAGTGTAGAGAGCAGAAGTAGTTCAAGAGAATTACTAACTTTCTCCCTCTCCTTCCTCTTCTCCCATTCGTGGAGCTTCTTGCGGAACTCATAGGGAAGGTTATCCTCGGGGTGGGTGGCAATTGTTCCGGTGGAGGGTGGTGCAGCAGCAGCAACAGCAGCAGCTGCTGCACAACTCGGCACAACACATGTGTTATTGAAGCCTCCTGGGCCACCCGCCCCGCCTTTCAGTTTCTCCCATTCTTGTAGACGTCTACTGAACTCTCCGCTAAGACTCTTCTGTAAATCAGCCAAAACTCCTGCGGGAAACATTGTCAACAACTAAGAGAATATGCAAGAGCCTTCTATATGCGAGAGAAAGTGTATTCAAATCTGTAGTTACATAAGTAGTTCTGTCAACATTGTGAGTGTGTTTGAAAAAGTTATCAAATTTACAGATGACATTAAAAAAATGACAACAAGGTATCAACATACCAAGCTTGACGATAATAATAATAATAATAATAATAATAATAATAATAATAATAATAATAATAATAATAATAATAATAATTGTGCAAGTGCTGAGGGCTCGATCCTCCATCCGCTAATCTCGCGACAGATACGCTGCCTAAGAGTTAATTTTTTCATTGTCTTCGGTGGATAATTTTTCCTTGGTTGGCAGGAAATAACTTTTAATACGCATAACACCAGACAACTTTTAATTAGCTAACAGTTTATTTCTTTTATTTTCCTTATTTGTTAATTTACATTTTTAGAAACGTTTTCTAGTCAACAGTTTTTGGGCAAATGATTTTACATCTATAAATATATAATCAATTTTTAATGTGTAACCAACATTTAACCACAGGAAATTTAACTTTATTAGCAGGTGAAGGTATGCTCACCTGAATGGTGGTGGTGGGCGGGGGGAAGCTGAGGTGATGGTGTTGAGTGAGGCTGAGGCGAGGGAGTGGGTGTGGTGTGGGGTAGCAGGTCGTCTGGGGACACCTCCACAGACACTACTGGAGAGTAAGAGTCGTAGAGGCCGCAAGACTCCACTACACCTGGTGACCAACACCACACCAATACACTGAGATAGCATTACGCATAAAAAACACAGATACACTCATGGTGTGACATGTTACACACTGAACTATTTACACATTAACGTGTCATAATCTGAATGAAAAGTCATGCTGTTAAATATACGGTGAAACATGTCAGTGACATTTGTACAGTAAAGGTTTAATCAAATTTAACCCAGACAAAAGTAAAGTTTCACGAAATATAACGTCAATTTTGTTAGTTATACCCATACTGTACCTAGAATTTAAACGACAGAACTACACAAAGACTCACCCAGGTGTGATGGACCATCAAAGTGGAAGGAGGTCTTCTTACTGGGTGACGGAGGGAGGGATGATGACCCTCCAGGGACAGTGGGATGGTGCTCGGACTTTGCATGTTGCTGCTGTTGCTGCTGGGTAGTGAGGAAGGCCTTCTTAACCTTGGTCCAGTTGGAGGCTCTGCGTGGTGAGGGAGGAGTCATAGGCAGCGAGGGAGACACGCGGGGATCCAACTGAGATGAGATAATGTTAATCAGAAAATAAAACCATTACCAAGTATCTGATGTGCAACACTACCAATAATTAGAAGAATGTTAACATGAAATGACTAAATACATACCAAAAAAAACTTTAGTTTTACGCATATATACTGCATAAGTAATAGGAAACAAGAATAAATCATAAAAGAACAAAGGCAGCCAGAGTGACAGCTTGAGTATAAATTTAGAGCAAGGGTGACTTCAGAGGTAAACACAAAAACCATGAGTCATATTACTGGTATAAACAAAGCGACGTCACGTGTAAACAAAAACATTAGTGACGTCACAATGTAAACTAAACAGAGGCAGGTGGGAGTACCTGTGCTGGAGAGACTTTCCTGTGGCGGGACTTGGGCGACCTGTGGGAGTGGCGAGCCCTCTCTCCTCCTCCCTGAGGGGACACAGTGCTATACCACCTACCACACTATATTGTTTAATATTTGTGTACAAAGGTTTACCGGTTATAGATATTTCTTGCTTCACCTAATTTCAAAACCAAGCTTTAAAATACAACTTTCAATGAATCCAGGATGTCAACGAGAGCCCCATGAAATATCTTATACTATCACCCTTTACGATGCCACCACAAGAGTAGATTGATTTTTATTCCCTAGGGCTTCATTTCGATTAAAAAAATGAACAGATACTAACTCTCATATAAAAATAAAATTTCTTGAGGTTGGGAAATAAAAGCGGGGCTGAAATTCTGTATCACTTTTATCTATTTCAGAATTTTCTCTGGCGCAAAGAAAGGAAACTGTAGGTGTTATATGATAGTGAGGAAGAATTACTTAAGCAGAGAGGGAGGCATAAAAAATGAATGGAAGGTTAAGTAACGGAGGAAAAAATCACAGGATTTCATCTCGTCTCTCGTTACTTTTTTCGGAGAGCAGAGGAGGCTTGATCGAGGTTCTCAGGCACTGTACTGGCCGACACCTACAAGTCCTTCAGTAACTTTCAAGTGTTATCTTTTTGTGAATGCTCAAAATTCCCGTAAACATGCATGATCAGAACACGCGAAAAGCACATTAAACTAATACAGAAAGAGTACGAGAAAATTAAATATCTAAAAATTACTGTAGTCAAAACAAGAAATTAAATACGTTGAGACATCGAAATGCGTCATCAGCGAAAGCATGCAGCAAATTAAATACCATATACATTTAAAATACATTAAAACATTTATCTTTGGAAATATACATCTCTCAACACCAGTTTTCTAAGTTTAAATTATACATGAAACGTAAAAGTAAGAGAAATATGGTAATATAATACTGAAAATCCTAGAAAAGCAATAACAAGCACATAATCACCTAAGATATAATGAATAGACGGCACAATATAGTGGCTTGAACGGCTCGCAAATAACCCAAAATTAGAAATGAACTAAAGACGTTTCGGCCAGTCCTGGACAGTTACCAGGTTACTACATGATAATGTTCCAAGACGTACTGAAACATCTAGTTTTTATTTTCAATTTGTGGGAATCACACAGTATACTGAATATAAAGTTATATAACAAATATACAACATATTTAAGGAATTCATTAAAGTATTAATGAAATAAATACTGACATGGAGGTGAGTGAGATCCTCGCTGGAGGGAACTGTGATAGTGAGCTGAGGCTTGGCCCTGCGGACCCCCAGACTGGTGGTGGTGTTTGCGGTGGTGACGGTAGATGCGGCAGCCATGACAGGAGTCTCTTCCTCGCGAGGTCCCGTCCACACTCCTCCAGCATCCCACTCTCCCTCGCTGCCCTCTTGACACACTCCTGCAGAAACCATACCATCCCCCGCCTCAGCTGCCAGTCCATCATAATCCACTTCGTAGTCCTGGGAGTCAAAACATCAATGGTAAACATATAAACCAAACTTTTGAAATTTACTTTTTATAAATATTAACAGTTTTCACAGTTATTTAAAAATCTAGCAACACTGTATGACTCATACATGTATGGTACCTTTTTCTTAAAATAATAAAAATGGTAAACTAAAACTCCAGTAATATATTAGGATAACACAGGCTTTATTCAGCTACATACACTTAATGTTACTGGTATTTTATAAATTTCAATAATAAACATACAGGTGTTATAAGAATATACAATGCTAATAAATTATGAGGAATTAATTAACCTTCAGAAGAGGCTCAAATATTCATCCAAGAATTTTATTTTAATTTCCTTCATAAATCCTGATTCAAGCGCTGATAAGTTTTGACCTAAAGGATATTCTGAACCTGATGCTGGCCAGAGCTGCATCATCCAAACAACAGAACCTGATGCTGGCCAGAGCTGCTTCATCCAAACAACAGAACCTGATGCTGGCCAGAGCTGCTTCATCCAAACAACAGAACCGCGATGCTGGCCAGAGCTGCTTCATCCAAACAACAGAACCTGATGCTGGCCAGAGCTGCTTCATCCAAACAACAGAACCGCGATGCTGGCCAGAGCTGCTTCATCCAAACAACAGAACCGCGATGCTGGCCAGAGCTGCTTCATCCAAACAACAGAACCGCGATGCTGGCCAGAGCTGCTTCATCCAAACAACAGAACCTCGATGCTGGCCAGAGAGCTGCTTCATCCAAACAACAGAACCGCGATGCTGGCCAGAGTTGCTTCATCCAAACAACAGAACCTGATGCTGGCCAGAGCTGCATCATCCAAACAACAGAACCTGATGCTGGCCAGAGCTGCTTCATCCAAACAACAGAACCTGATGCTGGCCAGAGCTGCTTCATCCAAACAACAGAACCGCGATGCTGGCCAGAGCTGCTTCATCCAAACAACAGAACCGCGATGCTGGCCAGAGCTGCTTCATCCAAACAACAGAACCGCGATGCTGGCCAGAGCTGCTTCATCCAAACAACAGAACCTGATGCTGGCCAGAGCTGCTTCATCCAAACAACAGAACCGCGATGCTGGCCAGAGCTGCTTCATCCAAACAACAGAACCGCGATGCTGGCCAGAGCTGCTTCATCCAAACAACAGAACCGCGATGCTGGCCAGAGCTGCTTCATCCAAACAACAGAACCTGATGCTGGCCAGAGCTGCTTCATCCAAACAACAGAACCTGATGCTGGCCAGAGCTGCATCATCCAAACAACAGAACCGCGATGCTGGCCAGAGCTGCTTCATCCAAACAACAGAACCGCGATGCTGGCCAGAGCTGCTTCATCCAAACAACAGAACCGCGATGCTGGCCAGAGCTGCTTCATCCAAACAACAGAACCTCGATGCTGGCCAGAGCTGCTTCATCCAAACAACAGAACCGCGATGCTGGCCAGAGCTGCTTCATCCAAACAACAGAACCGCGATGCTGGCCAGAGCTGCTTCATCCAAACAACAGAACCGCGATGCTGGCCAGAGCTGCTTCATCCAAACAACAGAACCTCGATGCTGGCCAGAGCTGCTTCATCCAAACAACAGAACCTCGATGCTGGCCAGAGAGCTACTTCGTCCAAACAACAGAACCTCGATACTGGCCAAAGCTGCTTCATCCAAACAACAGAACCTCGATGCTGGCCAGAGCTGCTTCATCCAAACAACAGAACCTCGATGCTGGCCAGAGCTGCTTCATCCAAACAACAGAACCTCGATACTGGCCAGAGCTGCTTCATCCAAACAACAGAACCTCGATACTGGCCAGAGCTGCTTCATCCAAACAACAGAACCTCGATACTGGCCAAAGCTGCTTCATCCAAACAACAGAACTTCGATGCTGGCCAGAGCTGCTTCATCCAAACAACAGAACCTCGATACTGGCCAGAGCTGCTTCATCCAAAGAACAGAACCTCGATGCTGGCCAGAGCTGCTTCATCCAAACAACAGAACCTCGATGCAGGCCAGAGAGCTACTTCGTCCAAACAACAGAACCTCGATACTGGCCAAAGCTGCTTCATCCAAACAACAGAACCTCGATACTGGCCAGAGCTGCTTCATCCAAACAACAGAACATTAATGCTGGCCAGAGAGCTGCTTCATCCAAACAAAAGAACCTCGATGCTGGCCAGAGCTGCTTCATCCAAACAACAGAACCTACTCTCCCCTTTTCCCTGTTAAATTTTCCTGGCACTGGATACTGTAAAAAGTAACCGAGGTGAAGCAGTAGCAGGCCGGACATTTGATTTCGAAATTCGAATTTTTTCTATGAGTGCCCTATTAAGGGTTATTAATTAATTAATTAAATGAGCCCATATAAATGGAATTCTGATAGTTATTTTTCGAGCAATTGCTAATCTGCAAAGACAGACTGTACTAGCGCCTGCCCGATAAAGGGAGTATAACTGTGAATGTTGCAAAGTTGCAATTGTTAATAAAACACCAAATAATTTTTTTTTAATTTATTGTACAAACAGACAATATCAAAAACATAAATGGAATTTGTATCCAAACATTTTGTAAGTATTAGAAAAATGTAAAAATGAACGAAATAGCAACATGGACACATTGCAAAGGGATAAAACTTTCAAGTCCCATATTCCTGAGTTTCCTGAGAAAGAACAATCATTCTATATTACTAACTGTTAGAATGAAAGTCTATGAAGCAATTTTTATCCTTCTTTATGCATAGATTTCATTTGCATACGGAACAGTAAAATGAAGATGTGACATAACTTTTCTTTTTGCTGTAATACTTGCAACTAAGTAGCTTGCCTAGCACTGGCCAGTGACATAGAGTTGTGTCAAACCTTACACTGTCATCAGGCCTTTCTGCACGTTGGTACTGCATAGCAGTTGGCAATTGCAAGGTTAACAAATCATCATTACTGTCACCATTGGCAGTACTTGGTGAAGCTCTTGTTCTTATGCTGCTGCGTCTAAACATTTGTCCTTTGTATCTTGCAGTGATAGAGATTTCATTCCTGAAAAGCTTCAATGGCATGCAGTCGGTATTTAGTGACCGATAATCACGGCAGTAAAGAAGCCATGCATTCACAACAGCAAGATCAAGAACATAGACAAACAGCCACATGTACCAACGTTTACATTTCACAGGTGTTTTGTACAGATGCACCAACATGTTACTTTTGTCAATACCTCCCATGTGTGCATTATAGTTCTTGATGACTGCAGGGCACTGTGACTGGTTTTTGGTCTTTGTATCCTTGTTATATCTTTCAGTAAGACTCACAGGATTAACCTCCACATCATTTGTCACTAGTCACAACTTTGTTGTCCTTCCATCTTACAACAAGGACACCATTAGTTTGGAAGTCAAAATTGCCCCTGGGCAGTATGTTCTTTTCCATTTGTTTGATAGAAATCAGTTCTGGCTTACTACATCTATTTTGAAGTACTGTTCCAGTGTATCTGCAGTTATACTTGTCTCTTAGTACCTTGACCAAGGGTAGACTTGAAAAGAAATTGTCAGCATAGATTGCTGATGTATTTGTTTGGTTGATATTGGTTGCAAGTACCAGAACAATCTTTGAGCTTATTGGTAGTTTAGTTTCTTCATGTGCCAGCTTTATGGGATGGTTGTCAAAAGTTGGTGTGCCTTGATACATGAGTATATCATGCATGATTCCATCTTCACTTGCACGACAAAACAGTTTTAAACCCCACTTGTCTGGGTTGGTTATGATGTACTGCCTTAGGCTTCCAGCAGTTTTACCCTTGAAAGCAACCATAACTTCATTAACAGACTGCTTGGGTGTAGCTGGAACTTTCAAGCAAGCATTAGTTAGTGCAGTGTAAAGAGGCTTTATTTTGTGGAATCTGTCATTTTCCTTCTGTGTGCTATCATGGAAATTAATTGTACGCCTAAGCAACCTAAACCTCTTAGATCCCATGACTTCTGTAACCTGGGGTATCCTAAATGTAGTTGCCCAATAGTCTTCCATGGCTGGGTATGAATTAATACCCATAAACAACAGAATACCTATGAACCACATGATTTCTTCAGAATCTGTTACAAAAATACTAAGTGTGTTTTTTTGCTTGGCACACAAATTTGTTTGATATGTTATGTTATCTATCATGTCTGGAGTAAAGAAATCGCAAAAATAATCATATGGACACCTAATTGCAAGAGGCTGTTCATGTTAGTATATAGGAAAAGGGTCATTTTGGATGTCAACGTGGGACCAGTGGGTGTCAGCTTGAAGACCAAGCTCGTCATGAACATGTTCTTCATCAGGGTACTCCTCGATCGTAATACCTTTCTTTTTCTTGACTAATTTTGGCTTTCTGGCTGGCCTATCTTCTTCCTCCTCATCACTTGACACCTCTGCATCCGGTGGCAAGTATTCGTCACCACTGTCAAGCAATTCTGGGTCATCTGGCTCCGGATCTGAGTCACTTTCCCCAAAAAAACAGGCATATTTTGACTTGTTGTTGGAGGGGTCACCATAAAACAATTTCTCATTGATCTGGAAGGACAATAAAAACGTTCTGTACACATCTAGACCAGAATTTATATATGCAATAGAAATTATTTTATAAATATTTATTTACTGAAATTGGACTATGGGCCTAAACGGGCAGTGCTGAGTGTACTCATACCTTTTTTGTTGCACTTTTTTCAACTGCATGGTACAATCATATTATGCTTCACATAGACTTTATATATATATATCAAAATATGCCTAAACTATTCATTTATGCACAAGACACAACAATCAGTACTTACCGACATTGTAGAGGGTAAAATCCAAAAGTATACGAGTGTCACTAGATGGAAAAATCCCACTCTCGGAGACACCAAGCAACAAGTGTTTATATTTTGGTCCCTCAACCAATGGGAAGCCAGCAGATGCCATCACCACTTACCTGAAGCGACTCAGGGAAGGCTTAGGACTGGTCAGAAATAAAGAATGGGAATCTAAATGCACGGCGGGAGTAGGATGACATGCACAAGAAAACACATGATCAGGCGCGAGTGTACTAGCGCCTGCCCGATAAAGGGAACCTACTCTCCCCTTTTTCCTGTTAAATTCTCCTGGTGCTGGATACTGTAAAAAGTAACCAAGGTAAAGCAGTAGCAGGCCAGACATTTGACATTAATTATAACACGTGTTTTCAACGTGAGGATACAATTATTTACACCATATATTTTTAATATGGAAGTGATAAACCCTTAGGGCTCATACAGCATTGTGGGAATGAGAGGTAACCGGGTTTCATTTGAAGGAAGGGGAATTTCAATTCCTTGGATGAAAAACCCTTCACCAGCATCAAAGGTCACAGATTATTATATAATAATCATGGGGAAGCGCTAAACCCGTAGGGAATATACAGTGCTTGTGAGGGGGGGGAGGATGGAAGGCATTCAGGCTCAATTCAGGGAACTGGGCACAGATCCAATTACCTAGATCAAGAGCCCCTCACCAGAGTCAAGGAACCTCCCTTGAGGAACAAAGGTTACAGAAAACAGTTTTTAAAGGAAATAAATTATTGGATTGCTAAAAACCACCATATATATATATATATATATATATATTATATATATATATATATATATATATATATATATATATATATATATATATATATATATATATATATATATATTATTAGGAAATGTTTTAAATATTTCATTACGACATACCAAGTCACTACAAAATAAAATGTGTATATAGTGTATTGCTAACAACTTAGTGAATGTGGTTGGCCAGAAATAATACTCTGAAACAAAACTATTAAAATGATAGGTGTTGGCAATTTAATGGGCGAGGTATATCCTAATGATGAACTTTGGAAATAGACCTTGCACTGTTTTATCACATAAGGGCTAACGCTTTTTGTGCTGATAATAATAATAATAATAATAATAATAATATCCTGAAAACCTTTTTTATGCTACAGCGAAATGTGGAATAATATTAGAAAAAATGTATGTAATGTATATGTAACATTGTGAAAAACATTCAGTACGTATTTTTATTTAATATTTGTTATATATTCAACAGGAAACGAGCCACAATATTCCGGGTGTCAAAGGTCCAGTTTAAGAACTTTTAAAAAACAAACATCAAAGACTGTTTTGAAATGAAAAAGTTCAATTGTTTATCTAAAGGCTGATGACTGTGTGTGTGGACAAATGTGCTGCTCCTAGATGGAGCGACGAAGCCGTCAGGTTATACCCAAACAAATAACAAAAATAAACGATTGACTATTTTTAACGTCAGGAATAGAATATGTCGTACTTCATTATTACAGCGTCGTTGTTGGTGGCCATGGTGACAGGTCCTGGTGAAAAGTCTTACTGAAAATGCTGACACGAGCAGGCCAACGCCTACGAAAAATGGACAATAATCTCACAAGTTTTGCTCAGAATGAGTTTGATAAAGCTCTAAGTGAAACGTCCTTTTGAATAAAGGTTTGCTCTGTCAACGTGTCTAATTTAATAGGTCAACTTCTAGTTGGTTTTTGCGAAAGACGTATTTTGGACAGGAATGTAGACAAAAAAAAAAAAAAGCTTAATTTGAACAACGTTGTAAAAGCTTTACTTAGAGCATATAAACCCCTCTGATCTTGCTGATGATGATGCTAAAAATTATGGTATACTGGTCTTGCTGTAGGTGCTTCTAACAATTGTGGTTCATTGTTCTGGCTGCCAGTGATGCTAACAATTATGGTCTATTGTTCAAACTGTTGACGATGCTGACAATTGTGGTTATTTTTGCTGATGTTGCTAACAATAATGGTCTATTGTTCTGGCTGTCTGATGTGTACAATTAAGGTATATTGTTCTAGCTGATGATGGTGGATGGGAAGGTAGTGGCGGTTGCATAGAAGGGTGGGTGGTGGTAGTGCAGTAATGGGTGGGTGGGTGTTGTTTAGTAAGGTAGGTGGCCGAGCGAGAGTTGTGCAGAAGAGTGGGCGGGAGGGCGTTGGTTGTATGGAGGATGATTAATTAAGCGGTATGTAGGCGAGGATCAAGAGAAGTGGTTAGGAATTATGAGGTGTGAGATAGTGCCACACCTTCCCATTTATTGCTACACCCAAATTCAGCCTCTCGCTAACTGGTTGCGGGTTTCATCCTTATAACTAGTGTGTACCCCTGCGTAAATTTACAAGTTACATACTAGTGAAGCTTGTATATGTATTGTACTATATATATATATATATATATATATATATATATATATATATATTATATATATATATATATATAATATATTATATAATATATATATATATATATATATATATATATATATATATATATATATATTTATATATATAATATAATACATATATATAATATATATATAATATATATATTATATAATATATATATATATATATATATATATATATTATATATATATATATATATATATATATTATATATATATATATATATATATATGTCGTGCCGAATAGGTAAAACTTGCCATTTTGTCTTAAACAGCAACGCTCTTCTTGCCGAATAAGGCAAGCGAAAATTTGTGTATGCAAAAATCTCACAAAAATCATTCTGAACCAAACGAAAAAAATATATTTCATTGTGTTTGTTTATTATTAAATTATTGTAAACTTGTCTAAAATACATTTAGTTGGATTAGACTAAATTAAATTGCGTTTGTTATAATGTTAGGTAAGTTTTCTAAGGTTCTTTTGGTACAAAATTATTAGTTTTTACATTAACACAAATGAAAAAATATATCTTTAAACGTATAAGACAAAATTTTAAAAAGGACTTAATTTTAAATGAGTTCTTGCTAACTGCCAGTTTTACCTATTCGGCACGACATATACATATTATATAGGGTGTGAGGACAGGCCTCACCTCGGGGTCTGAAGCAGCGGAGACTTCAAGAGCGATACCAGTGTTGGGGTCGTGGTGATGATGACCAGGTTCCTCCATCGTAGATTTGCGGTGAGACGATGTCGATTTCTTCCTCACACTGTCCCGCCGCGTGCTGATCATGTTCTTCACCTGAGAAGCACAAGAGCACTTATGTTCTGCACGTGAGGCTACTGACTCACTTTGAACCCAGCTAACTCACTCTTCGTTCTACCGATACATTTCGTCAACATCTTATGCTACAGTGTCATCTCTGAACTCACTACTGTCACCACTCTACGTTGACCCAAACTCACCTGGTTAGGTTGGGTAAGGTTCGTTAGGAAACAGGACAAGTGTTTCCTGACGCGGGTCTTAGTTATATGATGACCAGCAGATGGAGCTTTTGGTCATCTGAACGACGACTTCCACTGGTTTACCGGTCCAACCCTTTAAAAAGTAGGGTTGCAACTGACCTGACGTTACCTTCGTTTGCCCACCGTTATGAAAATTGACATACTTTGCCAAACACTGAATTACCTTGACAAAAAGCTGTCCTACGATGACCCACCTTGATAACAGTTTTACTGCTGGTCCACCTTGACAACAGCTGACCTTCCTTGACAAAAGCTGATCCACCTTGATAATAGCTTTTCTGCCTTGCCATATGCTGACCCATCTTAGTAAAAGCTTTTCCGCCATGACCACAGATGACCCACCCTGACAAAAGCTGTCCCACTTTAATAACAGATGACCAACCTTGACAAAAACTAGACGACTCTGACAAAAGCTGACCCACTTTGACAAAAGCTTACCTATCTTGATAAAAGCTGATCCGCCTTGACAAAAATTTACCCAGTGAAGAGATACACCTCACAGAACAACCTGTGATAAGCATTACCAAGGCATGACTTGGTAAAACTTAATACAAGATAACTTTGTCCAAACACAAGCTTCTTCAAATTTTGCCTTTTCAATACTGTTGGCAGTGTACTACTTAGATCCAAAAGCTGACCCACTTTGACGACCGTGGACCCACCTCGACGAAAACTAGCCTACCTTGGCCACCGTGAACCCATTTTGGCAACCTTGAACTCATTTTGGCTACAGTGGAGCCATTTTGACAACCGCGGACTCTTATTTTTTGGATAATGAAGCTCATTTTGGCAACAATGGACTTTTTTCTTGGTTATTGAGGCCCATTTTGGCCACCGTGAACCCACCTTGCCCCATGCTGAGCGGTGTCCCTTCTTCTCCTTGTCGTGGGGTCGTGCCCTGGAGTCGCGGTCGAGGGTGGCAGCTCGACGGTCGTCTTCTGAGCTTGAATGTCGTCTACACGACGACTCCGGCAGCTCCAGCAGCTGACCTGTGAAATCAACACACTTGTTCATCTATGGCACCCGATACCAACACATGTTTATATCTGACACCTGCCACCAGCACACTTCTTATTGTAACATCAAATAATAAGATAATCGTTAAGTTGTGTTATTCGCCAGCAGCACCACATTTATTACCAGGTTATATTAAAATAATGTAATGCCAGAACCTCCTGGTATGGAATTTAAGATACTAGGCTGTACTATTTAGTATCTCCTTCATATTACATCAGAAACAAGTACAAATTACGGTTATGAAGTTATAATCACATCATCATCAATCATTATTATTATTGTTGTAAATTATTATTAAATAATAATAATAATGAAGAAATAGGATACGATGTGATTTTTTATTTTTTTTTTTATTTAGGTATTCATGTCCTTTTTACCACCGTGTGGGCATTTTATACCATTTTTTCCACCCAGACGTAGCTGTGATGATAACTGAGACCAAAGTAGTTGGAATGATAATTTAACTGATTAATGCCGTCTTCCCGGGAACCTCAGTATAGTAGAAAATAAAAGAAAACAAAGGGACGGAATAATGGCCATACTGGTTAGAAAACAATAAAAATTAAAAAAACTTATTAAACTGCCTTGATTTCACCAACTACAGGCACACTATTAGCAATATAACGGGAATAATAAGGCGAGGGTAGAGTATATATACAAAGGTGAATAAGGGTGGCATTTAGATAGTAAAGTTAAATGTATGTAGACAGTTAATTAAGATGGTGACATGTAGCTTGAGAGCGACACATTTCATTTGTAATAACTGCATCTGACTGCACATATGTACAAATAATACTAAAATGAAAGCAAAAGAAATAAAATTAGGCTGTTCGAAAGCGCGTGGATGTAGTGCGAATGAGAAGAACTATTAATGTTAGGAAGGAAAATAAACTGGATGACCCAGCACTAGGTGAAACAAAGAAAAAGGGGTGGGAGACTGTCGGTGAGGAGTAAATAAGGTTAAATCGGGTGTAACAAAGAGGCCCTGAGCTACAGAACTGTAGCAGTAATATTAAATAATCAACTATGAAGGAAAATAGGGCGTGTAAGTGTTTAAATTCGAGATGTAGATTAGAATAAGGGTGGGATGTCAGACCTGAGTTATAGTAAGTATTTATCCACCTGGGGAAGAGAGAAATGTAGAGGAGATTTTGGGAGGAGTTAAGCGAATATTTAGGAAGTTTCGAACCAGGTGAGAAAATAATTGTTGTGGGGGACCTAAATGCTTAAAAAATTGAATAAGTACATGAGATAGGACATAGGGCATAATGACAGCTGTTTGTTAGTCTGTTTATTAATAGATAAAAGGCTGATGAGTAGATTCCTGGATGTACATATGTGTTTAGAGTGATGACAGAGATACCAGACCAACATAACCTAAAATACCCTAAAAACTTAACCTTATTCCACCACAGGCAGATGTACGTCTTTGTTTAAATTCGGCGAGGCAAGAAAAATATATGTACTTTGTGTGTCTCCCAATATAACAAACTGCACAAGAAAAACACATTTCATTGTGTTTGTTTATTATTAAATTATCTACAATATATTTAGTTAGATTAGGCTAAATTAAATTGTGCTTGTTATAATAAGGTTAGGTAAGTTTTCCAAGGTTCTTTTGGTACAAAATTATTAATTTTTACATTAACATAAATGAAAAAATATATATCTTTAAACGTATAAAAGAAAATTTAAAAAAGGACTTAATTTTAAATGCGTTCTTGCTAACTGACCAGTTTTACCTAATCGGCAAGACATATATATATATATATATATATATATATATATATATATATATATATATATATATATATTTTATATATATATATATATATATATATATATATATATATATATATGAGAGAGAGAGAGAGAGAGAGAGAGAGAGAGAGAGAGAGAGAGAGGAGAGAGAGATAACTATCATAGAAGGTGGCAGTTTTAGGAGTGGCATTATTAGGAGTGGCAGTGGTGGTAATGAAAGAAATAAGTTATGAAAAACTGAAGAATTATACCTTCTATCACTTACATAACAGAGAATATATATTTACGCAGTACTCAACCCGTAGTGGCCATACAGCGCCTTAGGAAATAGGTTTGATCCAAGGGAAAGACAAGTTCAATTCCTCTGATCAAGAGCTCCTCACAGGCATCAAGGAACCTCCCATGAGAGCTGAAGAACACAAAACGAAAGGGGATATGATAACATCCAAAACACTGTCCTGTCATTTCAGAGCTCCGTCAGGATCGGCGTTACATTATATGTTATGGAAGAAATCACAATAAAACGCGTAACTGCAAACATGTAGAAATGCCACAGTAAAAATAGGAAATAAAACCTGAGCGCTTTCATGTACTTACATATATATCTTCAGAGGAATATGAAGATATGTGGGTAAGAACATAAAAGCTCTCAGCTTTATTTCCTATTTTCAATATGGTATTTATGCATTATATGTTACCTACAAATAAAATTATGAATTGTTGTAGTTAACATTGCTCAGTAAATGTGGATATATCAACACTTCAAAACGACAAAAGACTGAACACATCTCCGATGAAAATTTTGAACATCAGTGTTTTACACTAACCTACAAGTTTTCATAAAACATTGTTAATGAAACGTTTAAAAAGTTTTAATTAAAGGTTGACAGGGTAGAAAAAAAAGGCTAGGTTTCACACCAGGAATCAGACAGGAACCAGTGGACATGGTTGGAAATTACCGACCCAAATGAACCGCTGTAGTAAAAAAAATCGGTATAGGAGTGGCAAGTAAACAGAATGTGATCAATGCTAGAGTGGCAGCGGACTCTGTTGACAAGTTTAAAATGGTTATAGAACAGCTAGGTCAGTGGGTGTATAATTAAGAGGTGGGACTGAAAGCTAGAGCTTACCCATCCTACTCACCCTTAAAGCTCAAGTGATCACACATGACTGAGGAAACAGCAAGAGGAACTTGGACAAACTACAGCACTGCTCTGACAAGTCTATGTTCAATCTTATTACATATAAATTAACTGTTTATAATTTCACAAAGAAAGGTTTGCCAAATGACTAACAGGAAGATAACAGGAAGGTGTAACAGATAACAGGAAGGAGTAACATATAACAGGAAGGTGTAACTGATAACGAAAAAAACCCGTTTGATAAATAACGAAGGTATACTATTATCACATTAATGGGGAAGCGATAAACCTTTAAGGGCCAAGCAGCGAGTAAGGGAATAGGAGAAAAATCATGTTTGATCCATGGGAGACATGGTGTAGCAATGACCAACCAACATAATTAGCCATCACGAAAGAGAGAATAATTCAGTAGAATGGTTCTTTGCTTCACCCACTTGTCCATATTAATAGTCATTTCTCCATATTTTTTTTAATAAACGTTACTATATCCTCCAAAGAGTTTCCAATAAACGTGATGAATACGTCACCAGGACACACAGTAAAGGTGATGAATACGTCACCACGGCACATAGTAAACGTTATGAATACGTCACCACGGCACATAGTAAACGTTACGAATACGTCACCAGGACGCACAGTAAAGGTGATGAATACGTCAACAGGGCACATAGTAAACGTTATGAATACGTCACCAGGGCACATAGTAAACGCGATGAATACGTCACCAGGACACACAGTAACGGTGATGAATACGTCACCACGGCCTATAGTAAACGTTATGAATACGTCACCACGGCAAATAGTAAATGTTATGAATACGTAACCAGGACGCACAGTAAAGGTGGTGAATACGTCACCAGAGCACATAGTAAAGGTGATGAATACGTCACCAGGACACACAGTAAACGCAATGAATACGTCACCAGGACACAGTATATGCGATGAATAAGTCACCAGGACACACTGTAAACACTGGATACGTCACCAGGACACACTGTGAACACTGGATACGTCACCAAGACACACTGTAAAGTGTGGATACGTCACCAGGACACACTGTAAACACTGGATACGTCACCAGGACACACTGTAAACACTGGATACGTCACCAAGACACACTGTAAAGTGTGGATACGTCACCAGGACACACTGCAAACACTGGATACGTCACCAGGACACACTGTAAACAGTGTGGATACGTCACCAGGACACACTGTAAACAGTGTGGATACTTCACCAGGACACACTGTAAACACTGGGTACGTCACCAGGACAAACTGTAAACACTGGATACGTCACCAGGACACACTATAAACAGTGGATACTTCACCAGGACACACTGTAAACACTGGGTACGTCACCAGGACACACTGTAAACACTGGATACGTCACCAGGACACACTGTAAACTGTGGATACGCCACCAGGACACACTGTAAACGCTGGATACGTAACCAGGACACACTGTAAACACTGGATACGTCACCGGGACACATTGTAAACACCGTGGATACGTCACCAGCACACAATGTAAACACTGGATACGTCACCAGGACACACTGTAAACACTGGATACGCCACCAGGATACAATGTAAATACTAGATACGTCACCAGGACACAATGTAAACACTGGATACGCCACCAGGATTTACTGTAAACACAGGATAAGCCACAAGGGCACACTGTAAGCACTGGATTCGTCACCAGGACACACTGTAAACACTGTGGATACGTCACTAGGACACACTGTAAACACTGTGGATACGTCACCAGGGCACACTGTAAACACTGTGGATACGTCACCAGGGCACACTGTAAACACTGCGGATACGTCACCAGGGCACACTGCAAACACTGTGGATACGTCACCAGGGCACACTGCAAACACTGTGGATACGTCTCCAGGGCACACTGCAAACACTGTGGATATGTCACCAGGGCACTCAAATACTGGATACGTCACCAGGGCACACTGTAAACACTGTGGATACGTCACAGGGGCACACTGCAAACACTGTGGATACGTCACAGGGCCCAGTGCAAACACTGTGGATACGTCACCAGGGCAC